TAAAAATAAAAATAAAAATAAATAAAAATAAAAAAAAGGCAAAAGGAATTGACACTAAAGTTTAAAACATCTATACAGAAGCAAGCTCCTGGCTCCTCCTTTGGGATCCGATGGCATTGGCTCCGATGCCACCCCCTCAGGTGCAATGCACCAATCCCGCACACCCTGGGCCAGGAGCAGCACAGGGCTCCTTACACCCACGTTTCCTTGAGCAGGAAGAGAATTACCTCTGTAAAAGTGGTTGACCTGTGGCTGTCGCTCATCCCAGAGGCCGGGCTGCGGCTGGGCATCGAAGTGGAGCTGCGCATTGCACCCCTGCAGTGAGTCACATCCACCCACAGAGTGGGGCAGTGGGGCAACAGCACGGCTCAGCACCATGGGGCAACCCCAACTCTGCCTCCCTCTGCAGCTCCGTGCCCATGCTGGCGAGGCTCTCCATCCAGGCTGACCTCCACGTGGACGTGGGACCCGATGGCAACCTGCAACTGCTGACCTCTGCCTGCAGACCCACTGTGCACGCACAGAGCACCAGGGAGGCAGAAAGGTCGGCTCTAAGTTTCCCTGGGCACACGGTTGGGTGAATAGGGAAAAAGACACTGAGCAAAAAGCATTGCTGTGCAGGAAGGTGGAAGGACGGAGAGCTGATCGCTGACCTAAAAGGTTACAGAGGTTAACACAAATGCTTTAGCCTCAAGGCAGAAGCTTTGATCCGTTTGCAGCACTGCCCTCACCTCTCTCTTAATAGAGTTTCATTCTCTCAGAAGGGAGCAGATGTTTCCAAGCACCGAGCAGGAACATTTTTAGTGCAAGTAGGGTTCCACACTATAGTCACGGTTTAACAGATGATTGAAAGTAATGATAACGACATCTCTGAACACCTTTTGGGTCCCTTGGCCCAGCTGGTGCTGCCTAACCTCCTCTGCTCTGCTGTTTTCATCCAGCAAGATCTCCAGATCCATCCTGGACAAAGAGGTGAATGTCGATAAGGTAAGAGAACATCTACACAGATAGGAGGCAGTAGGAGACAAAGTTCTGGAAGGTCTGCAGCAGATGCAGCCAGGGACAGTGAGGCAGCCCCTGCATTCATCTCCCACCTCTCAGGGTTTGTTCTTTATTCTGTAGCTTTGCCTGGATGTCTCCAAGTTGCTCTTTTTTCCAAACGAGCAGCTGATGTCGCTGACAGGTGAGCAGTGCTGCAGGTCCAGGCTCCAGAAATCTGGGAGTGGGGAGGGCGGAACGTCATGAGAAATGAATCCTGCTCTCCCCTTCTGAATTCGATTCCTCCGGGAAACGCAGGAGGGTCGCAGGCACAGCCTTCCACCTCTGCTCCCCTCTGAGTGTTCCTCTGCTCACTCTGCAGCGCTGTTTCCCGTCACCCCCAGCTGCCAGCTCCAGTACCTGCCGCTGGCTGCCCCCATGTTCTCCAAGCAGGGCATTGCCCTGTCCCTGCAGGTAAGGCAGGGCTCTGCAGCACCCACCTCCGTGCTGCACACTGCACCTCCTGCAGCATGCCCTGAGCACCCCCAGCCCTTTTTCCCCTCCCCATGTCTCTGCAGACGACATTCCAGGTGGAGGGGGCAGTTGTCCCTGTGCCGGTCAGCCCCGCCGTGCCCTTCAGCATGCCTGAGCTGGCAAGCTCCAGCACTTCCCATCTCATCCTGGCTTTGTCTGAGCACTTCTACACCAGCCTCTACTTCAGCCTCGAGAGGGCCGGAGCCTTCAACGTGACCATCCCAGTGAGTAGCAGGCGAGGGAGAAGGAAAGGACACAATGACAGCAATTGCTGTCAGAGCCACACCGCATCACCCCCGGTGCTCTTACCTCAGCTGATAGGCTGCACTTTGCTTCCAGAGCATGCTGACCACTGCCACGCTGGCACAGAAGATCACTCAGGTGCGTGGCTGTGTCCTGCTGCCATGGGGCGATGCCCCACTGCCCTCCCCACAGCACAGGACAGCCAGGCTGGAAACACATCCCTGCAGGTGGGCTCCCTGTACCATGAGGACCTGCCTATCATGCTGAGCGCCACGCTCCGAAGCTCTCCTCGGGTGATGCTGGAGGAAGGCCGGGCAGCTCTGAAGCTCTTCCTCACTGTTCACATCGGGGCAGGCTCACCCGATTTCCAGAGCTTCCTGAGTGTGAGCGCGGTGAGTGAGCACTGCAGTGGGCATGGCACCCTGTGCCAACGGTCTCCTGCATGAGCAGGGCATTGCAGGGGCAGCACACAGACAGCTTCATTGCATCCTAGCATTCCGACCTGCAGTGACACCATTTGCTCACTCTGACCCTGTTCTCCTCGCAGGACGTGACCGCAGGACTGCAGCTCAGCATCTCTGACACACGGATGATGATCTCCACAGCAGTGATAGAGTAACAAACCTGGCTGTGCTCTGCAGCCTTGCAGGGGACACGGCCCAGCCATAGAATGGGATGGGAGAGGCAGAGCAGTCTGAGGAATTCCTTAGCTCTGATAGCTTGTCTTTGCAGATGTAGCTCTAGCCCAAAGGAAGTGGTGAGAGGAAAACAGAAACAGTGCCCCGCCGCTGTGCATCACCCCAAGCATCCCATGACTCGCAGCAAATCCTCATTGCAGCCCTAGGGCCAGGCACCCCCAGCTCCATGCTGCTGTGTGCAGGGCAAAGGCAGTGCCACTGCCAGCTGGGAGGTGCCTGGCTGCAGGGAGATGCTGGCCAGGCACTGCCCAGTGTGTGAGCCTGTGCCTGTCACCAAGCACAGGTGCTTCAGGAAAACTGCACAGACACTGGGCCAAAGGGCTGCTGAGCAACAGCCTGGTGCTGCCTTTTGTTTTGCAGGGATGCTGAGCTCAGCCTGGCTGCCTCCAATGTGGGCCTGGTGCCGGTAGGTGCCCCAAGAACCCCCCAGGAAGTGGAGCATAGTCAGGCTCCTAACGGCACTGCGCTGAGCCCAGCCATCCTCAGCCAACCTCACACCATAGACACCCCAGCTGGGCCAGCAGCAGGGCAGCGTGTGCTCACAGTGCTCATGGCAGCACACCAGGACCCCACTGCCAGCCCCAGCCTTTTCCCTTCTCCCTTTTGGAGCTGACTCTGCCCCGTTTCACCCTGCAGGCTGCACTGCTGGAGGAGCTGTTCCTGGCCCCTGTATGCCAGCAGGTGCCGGCATGGATGGATGGTGAGCAGCAGGCACGTCCTGCAGGCAGCACTGGGCACAGGGCAATGCTCTGCTGGGAACTTCCCTGTCTGCTTTCCCCATTTCTCCTCCCAGATGTGCTGAGGGAAGGCGTGCAGCTGCCTCACCTGTCCCGCTTCACCTACACCGACGTCAGCGTTGTGATCCACAAGGTAAGGAGCAGCACACGCAAAGTGCTCCCTGCAACAAGGCATTTAAGCTGCTCCTGCTGTACTTGATTTAAAGAGGACTGACACTTCCCTCCCAGCTCTGAGCTGTATCCTCCCAGCACCACAGTTCCCTTGCTTTGCATGGGCATTCCTCACTAAGCACATTAGCACAAGCCAAAAGCATGCTCTGGGAGGAGCAGGGTGTGCTCTGCCCCTGCCTGCTTCCCTCTATCTATAGGAGTACGTCCTGGTCCCATGCAACCTGAAGCTGCAGAGCACCATGACCTGAACCTGCCGCAACGTTTGGGTGAAAGCAGTGGAAAACCACTCTGCTTTGTGGATTTTCACTGCACAAAACACGAAGAATTTTATTTCTTAAGTAAAACACTTCCTCACATTTAGGATAACATTGCATTAGAATCCTCCTCCTCTAACCCTGATCTTTGCATTCTTGGTGCATGAGGAGGATGGATTGTAACAATATTCCATGCTTTAATTAAACATTTCTCCTTAATGTTGCATTCTCCTGTACGGTATCAATTATTTTCCCCCTCAAAGTACCAAAAGATGGACGAACTCCATCTCAGTGAGTGCCAGCACCAATGCCCAGCCCTTAGATTTCACCAAGGGAGCATCAAAATTCCACTAATTTCTGTGGATGCAAGGCAGCCCCATGCAGCACAGCATCGCCCCTACCCACCACAGACACCCTGTGGCTATTCCTCCACTTCTAGTGTTACTATGGGAACCAAAAAGCTGGTGAGCTGGGCCAGAAAGAAGAAGAAAAAAAAATCACCCATCATCTGTACAATGGTTTCTAATATTAGCCTGAAAGCTGGTCATGTTTCCAACACGCTTCTGGCAAAGCTGTAGCAGAGTGGGTGGGCAGGAGCACCGGTCAGACCCCGTGCCACGGTGCCAGAGGTGTCATTTTTGGACTAGATGATCTGGTAGGTCCTTTCCAACCTTGTGATTCTATGGTTGGTGGGAGGACAGGGTCCCCACGTGCTGCCCAGAAGTGCCCACACCACCCGCAGTGCGCTCAGCACCCAGCCCACGGAGCTGTGTTAATTACACATCCATCTGCTTTCCCTGTCCACATCATTTCCAGCCTTTGGAGCAGCTGAAAAGCACTTGAAAACCTCATATTTCAGAGAGTCAGGGATAGGAAAGGAAACAAAACAAGCCAGTGTGATTTATTGCAGGGAGGGAAAAAACCTGAAGGTTTCTATGCTCGTCCTGGGGACCTGACTAATGATTTTAATGCCTGAGGTTGGCAATAGCAGGAACTGTTCCTAATAAAAGTTTGCTGGTAGAGCTGCAACCATTATTCCTTGACTAATATATCTTAACCTAGCTTCCCAAGAGGAATAGGCTGCAGTAGGAAAAGCGTTCATTAGCTTGGCAGCAAAGGGCCAGGGTCACCATGCCCTGAGCCCCTCCTGGCACCGGGTTGGCACTGCCAGACCCACACCACTGAGCTGGGACATGGGTGCTCAGAGCTCATCCAGCCCCAGGGCACCCTGAGTGACACAGGAGCTGATGCCTGCTGGTTTGGAAATTCAGTTTCATTCTGATTCCTACGTGTGTTTTAGCAAAGGGTAACCCAACAGCAGGAGCCACTGGCAATCCGAGAGTGCTGTTAGAAATTTGGGATGGAAGGGCTCAAACCGAACCCCAACATAGCACTGTCACAGAGGAACAGATCCTCCAGCAGGAGGCACGGGGGGGGCATCCCCAAGAACATCACAAACCTCCTTCTGAGCACTAAAAAAGAATGCATGTTTATTACTGAAGGAATCAGTGACAAATGTATCCCGAGCTCCTGCTCAGCACTTTGGACTTTTCTCACCACGGATGGAGACATCCGCATTGGAGAGCCACATGCAAAATTTCCCTTTTCCATTACACAGACAACAACTTTCCCAAAGACCAAATTCTCAAGGAATTTAACACTTTAGCTGCAGCATCACATGCCACTTCTGCAACCGTGACCTCTAATTCGCCCTAATTTCTCTAAATAAATATTTCTACACAGAGCTGCCTAACTGGTGTTGGCTTATGCAAGCATCTCAGTACCATGTAAGCCAATTTAATTTAAAGTGCCTTAAATATTACCAAGAACCTTGCAGTACATTTAGGAAAGACGATAATGTTGGTTCCAATGCTCCATCCTGACCGGATCTCCTCCCTCTTTCTTTCCAGAGCTGCCTGCATAGTGCATGGCTCACACGAGGATCAACAACAGTCCCTGCAAAGTAACATGGCCACGTCACTGCCCAGCCTCTCCTTGGCCCCCAGTGCACACACTGCTGGCTCTCGGTCCCCCTGTTGGCCACCATTGGCCTTCTTGGACACAGGGACACACGGCTGGTTCCTGTTCACCCTGTTGGCACCAGATTGCCCCAGGTCCTTTCTCTGCAGAGCTCAGAGCTTGGCATGACTCAGGGCTCTTTGTGTAGCACCGCTCCAAAGGGCTGCAGGATGTTCCAACCCGGTGGTACATTCTGCCCCTGCAGCATGTCCTCAGCAGGACCCACGTGCCAGAAACAACCCCAGCAACCCAACTCACACCAATGCCTACAGGAGGGCAGAGCCACATCCAACACTCACCAACGAGATCTGGAAGTCCACCCTTATCAGAGGAATTCTGAACACATCAGGCAAGGGTATCCCAACTGCTGCAGCAGCTGCAAGACAGACAGAGCCTCACCCAGTGCAAGGGACACACAGCCCCCAGTGCTGAGAGCTGGCTGTGGGAGCACAGCTGCAGCCTCAGCTTGGACACAGCAACCCCCCTGCCATATAGAAACCACCCCCTCTCCGCAACAAAAGTGCTCCAAATCAAGGGCTGCCCCAGGCTCCTTACCATTGAGAAGTGGCAGGTAGGTCTCCACCAGCAGCTTAATGAGGTGTGGCTTCAGGTTGGAGATCTGAGGCAAAGATGGAACAGCACCATGAGCAGCAGTGCGGCAGCAGTGAGCTCAGCTCAGCACATGGCCTTTTCTTTAATCAAAACTACTTTTCTTTCTGTTTGTATTTGGTGCCTCCTTTGGGAAGAGTTCTAGGGATAACATTTCAGCTGGAGCTCAGTGAGCTCAACCCAAGCAAAGTTGAATAAGCACAAACTTCAGGCTTTGCATTTGCATTATTAGAAAAGGCATAACAATAATAATAACAATTAATAAGAATAATAAAAGGCAGCAAAAGCATTGCCACAGTGTGCAGAGCTGCAGCTGATAGCTCGGACCCCCGGCACTGTGCCCCCCATACCCCATGGGAAGGGCCCTCCCGATGGGGGACTTACATCACTGATGCCAATGTCAGATGACTGCAAGATGAGGGAAACTCTGCAGAAAAGAAAAGCCAATGGCATGTCAGTCAGTGGGTCAGCAGCAGGAGCTCAGCCCCCAGCCCAACACCCCCAGCGCTGCGTTACTCAGCCCATGGATGAGGGACTCCCCCTCCTCTCCTGTGCCCAGGTAGCTTTTCACCTAAGAGAGGAATCAGCTTCTGTTTAGCTGAGAGCAGAGATTCTAGAAAAAGCACCCAGCCCAAACATAAGGATCATGAGCTCAGGAGAATCTGCCAAAGTTCCCAATCTGTCACTGCAATCACACAGTTATCTCCATAGCTAAAACCTCTGCTTTATTTCCACTTTGAGTTTCTCTTTTCTGCTTCCTTTGAATCTTGTTATATCTTTGTCTATTGAATTAAAAGCCCTTTGATGCATTTCCATTGTCTGTATCACTGCATATGGGCTGTGCCAATGTTGCTTCTAAATCTAACCCTTTGACAAGGTAAATGGCTTGAATTCCTCAGACCTCACGCTGTAAGAAATGCTTCCTAACCTTTAATCATACCTTGACTGGCACTAACAATAGCATTTTCCTTTGCTCCTTTATCACCCATGTCCAATATCAGGCACTTGGAAGTGCTGCCCAGGATCAAAGTCAAGCTGACACTGGTACAGTTTTTCAGACTGCCTCATCTCTCCTGGTTATAAAGTGGACACAGATTTCCTTCCATACTCCTAAAACTCTCCCACCACTGTGATGAGTATTACTCCTCCACTTTGTGCCACCATTCAGATGTGGAATTCTCAGATTTGGGAAAGCCGGGGGCCACATTTGAAAAATGCCCAGACAGCAGCTCCAGAGCCAACATTGCCTTGGAGAGGCTTCCAGCAGCCTGGAATGGGGCTGAACTCCCACACTGCGCTCTGCTCCCATTGCTTCCAGCTTGCTCAGGTCATCCCAGTGGGATGCACTGCCCTTCCTGCCATGCTGTGTCACCACACCCCTGCACCATGAGCTTCAGCAGAGCCCCAGGCCAGGCACCACGGGGGGGGGGACAGGCTACCTGCCCAGGGAGAAGGCCAGCACCAGGCTGCCCCTGGAGATCGACAGGCGGACGTTCAGACTGAGGTCCTGCAAGCAGACAGTGAGCAGGTCAGCCCACGCCACGGCCCCATCCCTGCTGGCAGCCCAGGCACCTCGTGTTCCACTTACTGCCTTCAGGAGCAGCAGGTTGATGATGGATCCATCCGGGCGCTTAACAAACACCTGGAGCAGGACCGACAGCTCAACGGTGGCTTTGTTGGGTTCCAAGAGAAGGATGGGGTTCCCCACAGACTCCACACGGATGCTCAGAGGACTGGCCCCAGGGCAGCTGTTGCACTGCAGGGATGGCGGACGTGAAGGTGGCTGCCTGCACTCAGCCCATGGACACACACAGCCCCACAGCTCTGTGGGGCTCCCCTGAGGTCATGCACACCTTGGACAAGCCCAGATTTAACCAAGTGCAGAGAACAAAACCAGACAGCAGAGAGAAGTAGAAGCACAAGGCTGCAGAGAACCAGAGATGGCTCAGGTATTTGTCCAGGTGCGTTCTGTAGATGGCTTCGGACCCAGCAAGACTTACCCAAAACTTACCCAGTCAAAGTCACTCACCCCAGTGGGATAAAGGGCTGTGATGGAATCTCTCAGCTGGTTGGCTCCAGAGAACTGCAGGGAAAGAAGCACACAGCCCAGGTGGGCACACTGCAGGTCCCAGCACCACCCACCCACTTCCCATGTCTGCTCCCAGCCGCTTGATTCACACTCGTGGGCCCGTCCCAAGCCTCCCCAGTGCAGAGCAGTGCTGCTCACTCATTCAGGTGAGAGCCACCAGCAGCACGAAGGGCTGCTGATGTGCAACGTAGCACCGTGGCACTCACAGCTTCTGACGAGCAGGGGAAGGTGTGTGGCTGGATCTGGAGCAGCAGGGCCAGCAGGGAGTTGAGGAAGCTCTGGCGCACACCGATGATCAACAGCCGGTCCAGCAGCGGGGGCAAGGCAGAGGCATACGAGTCGTGGGGGATGATGCTGCCTCCCATTTGCTGCACCGTGCCCTGTGAGCAAACAGCAACGTGGTCCTGCACTGCACACAGAGCTGTTCCTCCCAGATTTAGTGTGTGAAAGGAGCTGATGGACACCTGTGTGTAACTGAAGCCCCTGATAACAAGCACGCTTTGCCCAAATCCCAGACCACTGCTCCACGTCACCCTACAGAGCATTGCTCCAACTGCAACAAACCTGTGCTAATGTCACCTATTTGCTAAGAAGACTGACTCTGTCTGTGGGAGCAAAGCCCAACCCTGATGACATCTGCACTAAAGAACGCACAGAGCACTGCTGCCCTGTCAGGTGGAGCACTCAGCCTTCTTTCAGCCCTTACTCCTCACCTGCCAGTTGCCTCTTGCTAGCTCTGTTTATTTAATTTCTCCTGTTTGAAATTACTGTTTGGTTTTTTTGAGTCTTTTTCCCGTGAGGCAGCAGTAAAAAAATACATCTGTTGGCTTGGTTTAGCAGTCACCCATCACACAGAGTGCACAGCAAAAGCAAAATGCTGCACCACAGGCTCAGGCAGTGCAAGGGGGTGGCAACTGCTCATCCCATGCAGCCTGCAAACAGTGTGGGCAGAATGCAGCAAATTTGCTACTAAAGCAAAAGAGAGCACCCAATCACCTGGTGATGGGGTCAGATAGGGGCTGGCACATTTAGCTGGCTGTCAGAACAGCTCATCAGCACAGCCCATCCGTTTGGTTGCGCTGAATGAAGCCTGGGGTGCACCGGGCACTGATATCCAGTGTTCACTTACATCTAAATCCATAATCAGGGACGAACCAGAGGTGAATGGTGGGCCAGCCAGGTGGTAGTGAACCGTCCCCTTCGAGCCAACAGGGATCACCACTGCATGGGGAAAACACTGGTGATGGTCAGGGAACACACAGCTCCTCCCAGCCCCAGGTCCCAGCCAGAGGGAGCAGCACACACAGAGCACCTGCATTTTGGGGGAGCTCTGTAAAATCGCTGCCACTCAGCATTGGCAAAACGTCCCCAAATGAAACTCTGTGGGTTATGAGCTGAGGATGTAGCTCAAAGATAGGAGTTGAAACCCAAGGCTGTGAGATGCTCTCATTCAGAGTCGATCTCTGCCCTTGGAGCTTTTAGGACCCCAAAGCACTGGGGTAGCAGCACGGGACCGCGTGCATCCCACCACCCAAACACAGCAAACATCTTCCACTGGGACGTACCATCCAGAGTGCTCAGGAGCTGGATGTTCACTATGTTGAAGACAATATCTATCACTGGACACAGCTGCAATAGAACACAACACAGGACAGCTCATATGTGCCCTGCACGGCTCTGGCAGCCCTGATGGCTCTGAGCCACAGCGTGAAGCCATGGGGCAGCCAGCAGGCACTGGGATGGGCTGGGGTGGTGGAGGTGCCCTGGGCTGCTTGGGGACACCTCAGGCAAAGTGCACCAGCAGCAGCCAGGCTGCCCACCTTGCACACTGCCACCGTGGGAGCAAAGCACAGGCATGCCACAGCTCACTGCAGCCATGCTGTGCGTTCTCCCCAGTATTTCAAAATAGCATTTTGGCTACGGGAGGAAGGCTGATTTCAGACTTACCAAACCAGGCAAAGTTGCTGTCAGGTGGCTGAGCACAATGTCATGCACTGACAGGGACAGTAAGCTGGAAAAGACGCAAGAAAACAAAAGAGAATGTATGAGAGCCAAAAACCAACAACTCCCCGACATTGCAGCAAAGCAGAAGACTTTCACTGTCCACACAGCCCCAGCCCCAGTTGTCCCACGAGCAGAAGGGCTGTGTGCCTCAAGGAGGAAGGATTGGGCTCATGGCTGCAGCACTTGGAGTGTGCAGACACCACTGTGGGCAAGGAAGAGTTTCTCACAGCATATCCTGAGCTTGGCCATCTCCCTCTGGCATCTAAATCAGTGCTGTACTTAAGGGGAGGTGTTGTTGCTGTGAATTCCATGTTAGTTATGGGAAACAAAATATTTACATGTGGAATAACGAGAGGAGAAATCTGCTGTGAAGCATTCCCTCACTGCTGCTAAATAGATCACTCTGGGTTATATGCTGCCTGCAGGCAGTGCAGAGACATTCAGCTTGAGAATCAATACATTTCTGAACTACTGAGCTCGAACACACAGCAGTGCTGCAATCTGCAGATGGTGTGGACTCGCCATGCAGCACTCTACTTACAGGAGATTCTCCCTGCAGACACATCTGAGGATCCACCATGAAACATCTGGGCATACACATACCCACCCCCTGCAGAGGGGACACTTGCATGGGATCACACAGCCCCACAGTGGTCAGACTGATGGATCAAATGCCCAACGCCCCTCTGCTACAGCAGCCAAAGGGCAAGACTGGAGAACAGAGCAAGGCACACCAGTGGGGCTGCTTTCCTAGCACCTCTCCCCCCCACCACCTTCAGGTTAGTATGTCTCAGGTATCAGTTCACTAGCTAGGTCTAACAGAACTGCATTGGAATTGATGCTAAACTTTGTCATTCAGATCATCAGCCCTCATCTTCCAGCAGCCAATTTTCCATTGAGAAACCAGCACTGGCAGCAGGAAAGGAATCTCTTCCCTGGCTCTGCTGGCACAGGGCTGGCAGCCAGTCCAGATCATGGGATAAAGACCAGGGCAATGGAAAATATCAACCCACGAGTGCTTACCCAGAGAGCAGCTTGATCTTTACAGCACCAAGAATGCAGAAGCAGTCATCAGCAATGACCTGGACTGCACCCGACTCGAAACTTGAGCATTTGATGTTTGTGGTAACGGTCACATCCGCGGAGATAACAATTACCTCGGAGAGAAGGCCAAGCAAGCTGAAAGAGGCGAATGAGAGGCTGAGAGATGGAATCTGTTCCGCTCACCAGAGGCGCTCAGCAAAACCTCCATCATCAGCAATTTGTGGTGAAGGCCACAAGCCATTCTTTGCTACACATAGGTTTATTATAGGTGAACCCACGCAGGACTCAAAGCACTGTGCTGTGGGACACATGCAGACCTGACAGCATCTCAGAGCTCTGCACACTCACCAGTTGCCACTGAGATCCAGGCGCACGGTGATGACCAACTGCATCCCAATCCCAGGCAGCAGCTCCATCGACAGCGTGGGCATCCGGGACCTCTCCAGGTGCAGCCTGCAAAAAGCAGCAAACAGCCATCACAAACCTACAGAGCACCCCGAGGGCAAAGCACTGCCTGCAATGCCCAGCCCTGCTCACCCCGTGATGATGGTGGGGGAGTTCAGCAGACCCCCGTCACTCATGATGTTCGGCAGCACCAGGCCCTGCAGGTGCTTCTGGAGAAGCCCGTTCTGAATGATGGCATCGGACAGCGCTGCAAAACAGCTCCGTGTGAGCTCCCACCTCTCCCCAAACTCCTGTGTGAGCCATTTCCAACATCCGTGTGGTCAAATAGGGGGGGTGATGTCTTATAATGCCTAATAACAAAGCTGCCCTCACTGGGCTCAGCAGGAGCATGGCACAGCTGCAGCCCACTGCTTGCTGCTCGCTTCCAGAGGGCATTGGTCTTGCTTTCCTTTGGTCTGTTTTTGGAACAGCAGCAACAAGAAGTGAGCCAGAGTACTGTGCACATGAAGGTGGCTGCTAAGCTTCACTGTGGCTGTTGGCAAAAAAATCGGCTGCTCTAACAGGGAAATGAAAACAAAGACAAAGAGGAGAGGAAAGGATCCAGAATCCTGAAGTTCTGCATGGCTGTTCGGAGCAGAGTGCCACCCCTGTCCTGGAGACAGAAGGTCTCCCTCCCTGTGAACCCAGCAATGGCTCCTGCAGCCCCGAGGAAGCGTACAGCGATGACAGCAGCCAGGGGTTTTACCACATACCGGCCCCATGGGACCACCACCACTCCCATTACCTTGTTGCGTGGCCCTGGGACTGACGGCACAGGACAGGCCAGACAGAACCCCCTGGGTGGGAGAGAGCAGCCCACAAAAGATGACCATTCCAAAAAGCTTCAGCGGCTTCATCATCCTGCAGCAGGGGAAGCGGTGGCATGAGCAGTGCAAAAGGACAGGGATGGCACTGCAAGACACAGCTCTGCTGTCACCTGCACTGGGAGATGCCGTCTCAGCCCGGCTCTGCACAGCACCCGGCTCCTGCCCGCTCTTCTGGTGCTGCAGCAGCAGTGCCAGCAGCTGCCCTTATATCACATTTGCCACCACCTGGACACACCTTTTCGCATCCCAGCAGTGGGCACCTCCTGCATCTCTGCCAGCAACACCCAGCTGCCAGGCTGCTGATTTACACAGCACCGCGTCACTGCTGCCTTTCCCAGCAGCAGCTTCCCTTCCCATCCTGGGGCACTCACCTGGGCACTGCTTTTTCCCCTCTCTGCCTTACAAAGGTGTCCAAAGTGGTGACCTGTGGGATCCCCATGCTGGAAGGAAACCATCTTCTGGGGGAGCTGAAGCACACAGGTCACACCGGGGGCTGATGGGGCTGTGGGGTGGGACGGGACCAGATCTCCTCACCCTGAGGAGCTGTGGGATTAACAGTGCTCATGGATGTTTCAAATGCAGCGTTGGAAAATGATTTTCTTCACCAAAATATTAAAAAAAAAAAAAAATTAAAATTAAAAAAGCAACTTGGAGAAAGCTGATAAGCATCGGCTTTGTTAAGACTGACCTTCAGATGGATTTCTAATGCATCTGTAAAGAACAACAGTGAGAAACGCAGCTGTACAGAAATGCACAAAGCCAGCAGCATCAGTGTGACACAGCAGTGCTGCGGGAGCAGATCCCAAAGGAGGGCTGAGGTCGGGCCCTGGCTGGGTGCCGTGGCACTTTCCATTGTGCAGGGCTGGGCAGATCCTATCGGTGCTTTGCTCGGTGCTGTGCAGCAGAGCGAGGCTGCACGCAGCAGAACAAAGCTGAGCTGATAGCATCACTCTCAGGGAGCAGCTGGCAGGGGAACACACGCTGCTGCCCTTAGGGTTGTGTGCTCCTATCGCAGCTGGTGCCCTTTGGGACGGCAGCATCCAAGCTCCAGTGCCTCACACTGCAAGCATGCAGTGTGCTTTGTGCCCCAGCATGGGTGTTCCTCCTCTCTGCATGGGTTTCTGCTGCTCAGTCCCACCCTTCGCTCCTCTCGCTCACCTGGATCTCAGTCTCCCCTCGCAGCAATGCTTCAGGTGTCACTTACAGGAAGGCTGAGCTCAGCTCTGCAGTGACAAGGGAATATATATTAAAATGAAGCATCGCAAGGAACTCAGGAAGAGATCGTCACAACACAAAGGCTGGAAAGCAGAAGGGCTGCGGAGAGAGGCTGCACGTGGATGCCCCAAGCAGCCCCGAGGCGCTTCGCAGAGCGGTGTTAAAGCAAACAAACATACGTTATTCAACGTGATTAAATCTGCCATTTCTTATTCTCCAGCGTTAAGAACCGTAGGAGCTCAGGGAGAACCACACACGTGTCATAAAATAAAAGAGTGAGCAACCTGAATGAAAATACGGAGAATTCTTCTGCCCCAGTTTGAATAACAGCACCGGGGTTTTATGGCTGAGATACGTGCTGGAGGTTTGCAGGCTGCGGAAGCACAACACTGCTTTATTGTTATGCGGTGAATAAAAAGAAAGAGTAACCTCAGGCCATAAAACTCCTTCAAAGGGGAAATAGAAACTCCGTATTAAGAATACATAAACTGAGCACTGTCTCTCGAGAGGAAAAAACTAAACCTGGTGGCACGAATTGTGCCCTCTGATAGCACTGCCCTGAGCAAACACTGCCTGCTGCTTGTGGGGTGGTGAGCAGCTGCTGAGGGCATGAATGGAAGTGCTCTGCTCAAATGTCAATGGAAAGTGATTTCTCTGATGTCAACAAAACAAAGGAGCCAGCCAAAGAGAGCAGCGCTGCGGAAAGGGAGAAAGCACTCGGGTATAGAAATGGAACGGCACATGAATGGAGTGGGGCTGTTAGAGCAACATCTGGGGAAGAGAAAATACAGAGAACGTACTAATGCAGGCTGCTGCCAGACCGACAGCTCCCAGCCCGGTTCCAGAACAGCCAAAGTGCAGCTGTACCTGCTGTAAGCCCCAGCTCTCCCCTCTCCTGGGGAGCACAGCATGGTGTGTGCAGCAGGGGCTGCGCTGCAGGTCTCCATCACTGTGATGGGCAGCAGCAACGCAGCCCAGGAGCCACCACCAAACATGCAGCAATGTTCTTCAGTGCTTTGCTCACGCTGCCTCATAGCCCTGCATAGCAGAGGGTTATTTCCCCGTCCTGTTTATGGGATTGCTCAGATCACAATGAAGGAATCATCCCAAAACTGGGCTCAGCAGCTCACTTCTAGCAGCAAGATCTGATCAAACAGGACATGGAAACTCCCAGAGATAAGAGCAGAGCCGCAGGCACTGAGCCCTGCAGTCAGGACCAGGCTCCATCCCAGGGCCACCAAACCCCCAGCCGTGCTCACACCTCTCAGCAGCTCCCAGGGCTGAGCACCCATAGCAGCACTGATCCTCGGGGAGGCCCCGGCTCATGCTGACCTGGGGCACACATTGCTCTCTGCTGGCTGTGCCCACAGGGCTTGCAGCACAGCATGAACAGACGTCAGAGGCATCCCTCCGTGCGGCTGTGTCTGATCACTCACCTGTGCAGTTTCCTACATATGGAACTCAGGATGTAGAAACAATCTCAGGAAGGATGAGCAGATAGCACTGAGGGAGAAGATGAGTTCAAGGGACAGCAGTGCTGGCTTCTGGGTGCACAGCAGTGCTGGGTTTGGGTGCACAGCAGAGCACACAGCACAAACACTACAAGGATAAACAACAAATCAGCATCACCAGGAATTCTATAGACAGAAAACCATCTTTTCCCAGCTTAGTGAAGTACAGTGAACTGAATGTTATCAAACCAAAGGGTACAGACCTTGTTACCAAGTGCTGCACATGGACACAGGCAGAGCAGTCCTGCATTCAGACCCAGTGCTGTGTGTTACACAAGCAGCATTCGCTGCCTTTCCCCCATCACTTCCAGTCACCCACACTGTGAACTCTGTGGACACTTCAATTCCTCCTCACTCTTCATTCTTCCAATTTGTTGGTGTTTTCTTTGTTTTGTTTCTCTGCTTTCCTTCCAGCCTGGAAAATAGATTTCTGTCCATTGCATTGTCTCAGGAAGCATCAGCACCGCAGTGCCAACAGAGACCTCTTAAATAAAGACAGCTATTTCCATTTGACTGAAAGAGAGCAGCACAGACACCAAGTCATGTTTCTGTCTTGCCTCAGGTTCGGGGAAGCTTCATTTACAGAAGCAAACACGATATTGAGTGAATTTGTCCTTGATGTTCTCTATCAATCCCGAGGAAGAATTAGCAGCAGCCTTATATTACACACATATGTCTTCTGTAAGCAAAGATTTCAGCCTTCCATCTCGCTCAGCTTTTAATGAAGACAGGACACAGCATCTCTGGACACATCCTCAGCACAGCATACAGAATTAGCATCATGCTTTGTGCAGACATCCCTCTGGGGGTAAATCACAGCCCTGCCACTAGTCGTGATATAAATAAATGCCCATTTCTAAGGGAGCCCCAGTGCTCACCACACAAAGTGCCGAGGTGGGATTCGAACCGGCGGCCGGCGGGCAGCACAGCGGGCGCATCCCTCCAGCCCTATGGGGTTGTACCAGGCCTGGTGCTGCTCCATGGGGCAGGCAGTGAACTCAAAAGCTATTCTGCAGCCTGGCACCATCAGGCACAGTCCTGCTTACCCCGTCAGAGCCAGCACCAAACAGGAATGGGCTGGGAATGCTGTGCAGAAAATTATTTCGCAGTCACTGGCAGGAGAGCATTCCTAAACCAACTCACAGTGGGGTCAGATTGATTCCTGTGCACAAAAACGCAATATAGACAAAAAAGGAGATCGTTTAATTCCCTCTTAACTGTGAAAAGCAATTTGGTGCAGTGTGTGACACATTGCAGAGCACCGAGCATCACCCTGGAAAACAAATATAGCACACGGGAGCCAACCACACACCCGGCCCTGGTATGTCACACTGCTGAGAGAAGTTAAAATAAAACTGAAAAAAATAATAAAACCAAATTGGTTCGAGGCCAATTTCACTCCCTCACTCGCACAGCAGCAGCAAGGCGTGGGGAATGCCAGAGCAGCACGGTCTGATCCTACAGCAGCAGCCACCAGCAGTCCTGCTGCATCCCAGCACAGCTGCCCTGAACCCAGCAGCATCCCAGCACGGGGCATCACTCAGCTGCACGGTGGCGAAAGGTCCTCAAGCAGCCATTCACAGCCTCCACAACAAAGTACAGGGTCCTTCAAGGCACCACAGGTCTCTCAGGGCGATTTCCTCTCCTGCCTGCAGATGCTCAGACCATAAGTAATCAGCGCACAGTTTTGCCGCTGCTGCTGTTTTATTGCCCGAGGCGCCCACTCGCTGCTCTGCCTCTGAGATAAGGGCAGGCAGGCGGGCTTCAGAGGGTTGGGGCACTTTGAGCAGCGTCTCCTCAACATCAAAGTCCCGGCTGGATTTTTTTTAGTGAGACTTTAGAACCCAAGCGAAGGATTTTTTCATGTGCTTCACATCGAGTGGCATCAAAGCGGCTGCTGTCCGCAGGGAGCTGCTGTGCGACACAGAGACCAGCAGCACCAGCACAGCAGCGAACTGAGCAGCCCCACTCAGCAGCACTGTGTGTGGGAGGGGAGAGCTCGGGAGGCTTACTTGGAGCAGTCTGAATCCAAAACCCAACTCCTCATTTGCTGCAGCGTTACTGAAATGGAAACGCAGCCCTGAGATTCCCTGAGTCGGCGCGGCGCAGCTCGGAAGAAATACTCTCATTGAATGCTGGCACTTTGCAGCCCTCACACATTGCACCAGGGTCAGCTGTAACAGTTTGAGAGCTCCTCTCCCTGGGCTCTGCTCGTGCTGCAAACACTTCTTTCTTTTCCAGCAGAAATGGAAGGCTATTGCAGGGAGCACGCTTAATGTGACTGCAGCCGCCAGCAGCACTGCATGGGACACAGAGCATCAGGCTCAGGATCTGATAAGAACAGGGATTGTAATTCGTTTCCTCCCACTGCTCATCCCAATGCCCACAAGGGGCTTGGGCACTGAAGGACCCCACACAACACAGCAGCATGGCAGCTCCGTCCTCCCACAGTGTGGTAACGCCTTCAAACCCACCCAGTTCTCACTTTTTTCAGCCCAGCCACTGTGCAAGGAGGAGACGGGACATTTTGAAGCCTCATTTTCTAAGGAAAAAAGCAGAGCCCTGATCAGATGTTGGCTCCTTGTTAAGGAAACAGTGCAGCTTTCCCCATTGCTTTCCCTCCCCTTTAGGCTGAAGGGACAGCACTGTGTCAGACCAGCAGCACCACGGCCCGCTGCTGAACATGGTGCCAATGACATTTCTGCAAGGCACTAAGCCTAGTGTCAAACATTTAGGACAGATTTCCTAAGCTGTTTTGTTTGGGTGAAAGCAGCTGTAAGCCAGGAGCTGGGCAGAAGCAGGATTCCTGCCTGGCACACAGCTGAAAACCACACAAGGATGAACCAAACCCAGCAGCCATCCTGGTCACCATCAGCAGCACTCAGCCTCTCATTCAGTGCTGAGCTGCTGTGGGATTTGTGACAGAACCGCCTGGAACTGTCAGCGCTTCCATCAGTAACAAAGCAGGGAACTCTCCCTGTATCACAGCACAAACTGCAGTTATTCCTTTCTCAAAGCTGTGATTCCTAAAACCTCCCTTCCATCCCTGCCTGACGTCACAACACCCATCTCCTTCTCACAGGGGAATTGTGCTGTGCTATTACAAGCAGCCCTGAGGTGAATTAACAGCAGCCTGTAACAACGTTCCACTACAGCAACTTTATCCCCATCAAACTGAGGAACTGAGCAGTGTTTTACATCTGATGCATTTTGGCTCGGCGGAGAGCGGCAGCTGCTCCCTGTATGATTTATGGATGTATTCCACACAGCCAAAGCCAGGCACAAAATCCCCTGTTTGTGGCAACCCCATATAGAGATGGGGAGAGAAATTCACATTCTGGACGATGGCAGCAGTGGGCACAAACCATTTGATTGGCTTTTTTTTTTCCCCTCCCCATATCCACGATGGAGATGCAAGAAGCTGTATAACAAACCCTATAAATATTGATGCTCAACAGCTGGCAGCGATGATAGGAGGCACACAGCAGCCTTTGTTACACAAATGCAGAAACAAATCAGTTCAGCCCTAAGCCAAGGGAACCTCAGGGGTTCCAAGACCCCCATACACCGTTATGGGGAGGCGAGGGGCAATGCTCTGCTCTGGATGGGGCCATCCCACCCCAGTGCCCCCCAGCACAGAGGAGGGGAGCGGGCAGATAAGCAGAGGCAGAAGTAAAGCACTGGGAAAGAAATCACATCAGCAGAACACCTCCAGCAAACAGGATTGCAGCATAAGCGGCTCAAGCAGGGATTTGGGGGCGGGAGGAAATGTGTTTTCACATGGATGGTTCAAATATGGGAAATGCTGCCAAAGGGCATCTCCAAAGCCAAGGCATTAATTAGGTTCCAAAGCAGGCTGAGCATTCCCAGGGGCACACGAGAGCAGATTCTATTGCCTGCTGACACAAACACACTACCTGTGAATTTTCAAACAGAACAGATAGAGCTGCAACCAGACCTTCAACTCAAAGAAAACTTTGCTTCTGCCTCTTCCCCAGACTTTCATAAGCTCTCTCTCTTTCCAGCAAGAAACACTCCTCACTTCCCCATCGCAACTCATTCACGTCACCACTTTTTGGCGGTGCCCACATGGATGAACAGCTGCTTCCAAGGACGAAGCACAGGAGGAGTAAAAAACCCCACCGCAGACCCCGACCAGCACCAGGAGAGCTGCACCCGCCCCCATGGCTCCCACATCCCACTGGCTTTGGGTTTTCGTTGCCCTCTTTTTGTAGGTGGTTGAATTTAAAAATAAAAATAAAAAAATCAAGGTTAAAATCAGCTTTGTTACCTGTGTACACAAACCATATTCTTCAGCAGGGCTGCTCCAAAAGTAATGCCTCCTATCTTAAGCTGTCGGCCCACAGTGGCAGCTGGCAGCAGATGTTGGTGCTATGGCAGCAGAGGTTAAACCTTTCCACCAACATGCTGCTATGTTTTCTTGTCGTGTGATGGATGGCAGCAGAGGGGCAGTCTGACAGAATGCTGTCTGACATGGTAGTGAGGATGCAGCAAAGGTGTGATATGAAATCCCTCCATGCAGAAAAAATGACCCCCGTTGCCATTCGTTGACACCTGGAAAAAGCTGATGGAGACCAAAGAGTGGCAGTGAGCAAAGTGAGGTGGGGGGTGGTGCAGTTCAGCAGTGGGGCAGCTCTGCTGGTGCAGAGTTTGATGGGAGCAGAATGCGGATTGCCTGCAAAAATGCATAGTGTGGCAATGTTCAGTGAATCATAGAATGGCACAGAATGGATCTCAAAGATCATCTAATTCCAAGCCTCCTGTCACAGGGTGGTTGTTGTGGAAAAACAGCGTTTTGCAGCTGGCAATGTGCATTACCAAATTGCACCCTGTGCCATACACAGCTCAGTGTGTGATCTATGGGGGAGATGGCATTGCTGCCAGGCGGGGGTGAGGGGCTGTGCTGCAAGGCTCTGCCTCCAGGAATTGCCATCTGTGGCACTGCTGGTTCAATGGAAGTGGGCTGGGAGGGAGGCTTAGGCAACGTTCCTCTGTGGGAGCCCTGTCCCTAATGGAACATCAGTGAAGCCCTATGGAAAAACATAGCTTTCAATGCTCACAAAGCAAAGCGCTCACAAAGGCTTTTCCTCCCACCAGTTCGAGTCCCTCTGTGCAGAACCCCAAAGCAAACAAACCTGGGCTGCCAGCGGGACACCCGTTTCACAACTGCATTCCGCTCCTTGGCTAAAAATAAAGAGATTTGTCCCATGCTCAGCCCTTAGCTAACACTGGGGCAATAAAGGCGCACCTGGCCTCGTAGGAGGGTTGCACAAGCAGGTGATGGGCCAGAAGCGACAGCCAAGCCATTAACAGGTGAGGAATGCAAGAAACAAGCACCATAGGACCTGGCTTCTGCCCTCCTGGCAAAGGACTCCCTTTGTGAGATTATAGTCCTGCGCCATTCAAGAGAAAGAAGCAAAGAAACGGGGGTAAAAGAGAGCGCATTTCAGCTGTAAAGGATTTATCCATCCGATTTACATGTGAATCAATTACCCAGACAAAGCTCAAACGGTGCCAATAGGATTTAGGTGACCGAACACACCTCGCATTCAAGTCCTCTAATCCGTATCTGCAATTCCTGATAGCTTCGCGAGGTGCAGCTCTGCAAGAGGGGATGCAATCCTCCTCCCCCTTCAAACCATCGGACTTTTAGAACAAAGAATGACGCCGAGGAGCCCATCTGTGCCGCTCCGGTCGGGCAGCAGCAGCTCCTCCCGCACACCGGGTTGTGCGCTGTGCAGCGCAGCACCACGACGACGCTCCCGCATTGCAAACAAAGAGCAGATCCTCTCCTCCACTCCATGTCTTCACTGTATGAAACGTCTGCTTGGCGAAGAAGAGAAGGGGCGATGGAGCTGTGAACCCCAGCAGCAGCAGTAGGCAGCCACGGAGGTTGGGGGATGGTCACAGAGATGGGTTATTTTTGGAAAGAGGACCAAGAGGAGGAAAGAATACGGTTAAACAAGCAAGTGTTCTTCCTAGGCCTGGAACTCACAGCACGTTGCAAGGCTGAATTGGTTGCTGTTGGTTTTGCTTTGCAACATTTGTCACCAATGGCAAAAGAAAATTCCATTTTGCATTGCATGAACCACGTGCAGTTTAAGGAACCTTTCAAGACTCACACATCAGGAGGAGGGGCAAAGAAAAACCAGAAAGGCTCAGAGCAGATATGTAACTGATTTCCTTTTGAGACCCAATGCTGGGCTGCCCAGAGCCCTCCCAGCCCTGCCTGGCTCTGAATTTACGTGATTAGAAATGCAACTGCTTCAGCAAAGAGCAGACACTTAAATTGTTTCGGGGGGGGGGGGGGGGAACCAAAACAAAGAAACCCAAACAAACCGAACAGAACCACGCTCACACTGCTTGCTCCTGGCTTCTGCTAAAAAGGACTTTTTGGCTAAAAAGGCCTCAGGGAAGGGAGCATCCCTGTGGATGAGGAATTGATTTCATTTAATGCTGCTTCCAGAGCAAAAGCTCTCGAGGGTTCTGGGAGAAGTTTGATCTGAAAGGCAGAAATGGCTCTGTAAGAAAATCGACAGAATGCATTGCTGAAGTTCTGCCCCACGCTGCATGGCAGGGAGGAGGTTTCTGCTGGGTGAGCTTTGCCCACCATCACTGCTGCAGCAGGAGCCCACAGTGCTGCAGGGGTGCAAGGTGCTCTGGGTTCCACGTGAACCCCCTGGGAGAGGATCCTCCATTGGATCCAGCAAAGCCATTTGTTGCCAGAGGCCCAAAACCAGAGAGAAGCACACATTGACTACAGGGGAGAGCTCCTCATTGCACTGACCTCAATGAACGAGCGATGCTGATGAGAGCAGCAGCACCGTTCCCCACAAACTCTGGCAGTGTTGGCAGCTGCTGGGCAGCCCTGCAGCCCCTCTGCCATCCCCTCCAGACCAGAGCATAGGAGCCAGCAGCTCTAAGACAGCTCAGAACCCACAGAGAAAAGATCTGATGAACTCCTTCCTGTCCCTGGGGCGGTCTCAGCTCACCCCAGAGGTATTTCAGTGCAGTAATTACACACTCTGGGTGTGTGGGCACAGATATAATTTTCCCTTTCTCAAACACAATTACAGCTGCACAGAGACAGGAGGAGGTTTACAGACAAAGCACCGGTGGAATCGATATATCAGATTGGATAGGAGACTGTGATTTCAGCTGCTGCTGAACTGCATTAAGCCCCCTAAATTAACTTAATTAGGTGTCAAAACAAGCCTGCTTGGTTGGTGTCGAGGAGATATGTTTTAAGAAAGGCTCAGTGCAGCTCGCAGCAGCGGGCACAGCTCCTACCCACAAAGCTGCGTGACCCACACATGGCTGCAGGCACCAACTGCCTCTCCATGGGTTTTCTCTTGGCACAACGATGCCAGCAATCAGGAAACCAAGCAAAGCAGAACTGAAATAAGTGAGAACAGGGAGACACCACGGAAGGAAGGCTAACCTCTACTTGCTGAAGTTCCCTTCAGCTCCTCCCAGATGCATCGGAGGCAGATGCCGAAGCCCAGTGGAAAGCAAAGCAGCAGCAGCGCTGCACACACAGGGCACTGTTCAGACGGGGTGGATGAGGTCCCCCGCCGGGTTTCCCTGCCATCAGCCTGGCTCAGAGCTTGCACAAAACCTTTTTGTTCCTTTTGCACGCTTCTCATGGATCCCTCCTGGCTCCTCCATGGGCGGTGAGTCACGTCTTGTGAAAGCCTCCATTGATGCTCCCGGCTGTCCTTACGTCACAGGGCACTGAATGCTGTCTGCTGGCTCCAACAATAAGCACCAGCAGCACAGCAGTGTCAGCTGCCACAGGCACTGGGAGCTGTCACATCACAGCTGTGGTTGGGGAGACCTTAAAGATCACCCAAAGGATGCTCTGCCAAGGGCACAGCCAGCACCCACAGCCCTGGGGTCACATCAGGCATGCAAGAAACTCCAGCAAGAAACTCCAGAGCTCTTCCTTACACAGCTGTGCAAACAAGAACAAACTCATTGCTAGCTCGCAACAAGCAGAAGGCGATAGCAATCAGATACAGCATGATAACCGAGTTTAGGAGATCTCTAAACTGAAACTGGAGGCTCTGTGACAATGCTAAAGGAGAAACAATGCATTAAGGGCACCTGCAGTGCTGTGATAGTAACGAGGAAGTCATTAGATCTCAGCAGATATTGAAATACTTCATCAGTGCTCATCTCCCCGCAAGGATCGCCCATCTCCCACCAACACTGCTTGCCCTGGAAGGTGATGCATGCGCAGAAGTTGCCGTGCTGTAACAAACAGCACAGACAGAGCCGTCCATCAGCACATTCCTACCAACAGACAAAGCACTCCGTCACGCGCAGGGCGGCAAAATTGTGTGAGCACACAACGAAAGTCAGGCGGGGGAAAAAAAAGCAGGGCAGCAGGAAAATCCCAACTGTGTGATGCTGCTGAGTTGTTGTGAAGGTGGCAGGCGAGCTCTGAAATTCCGTTTGTAGGGCCTCCTGCTCAGCAGCTCCTACAGAACCATTGCAGTTCCCTGCTGCCATCAGTGCAGAGCAGCTGATTAAGACACGAATCTCTGCGCTGCTAACGAAGCAGCGAGTATCAGAAATAACAGCCATGATAAGCGTGCATCGTCTCAACCACAGAGCAGCAAAAAGAAAACACCTTCACGGCACTTTGCCTACAGCAGCCGTCTCCAGGGAGCCATTAAAACAGACGATGCCTCTCTCTCAAAGCAGTCGCTGGTGGGATATGAGCAGAGGTGGACGGCTATGCGTGGAGATGATTGCGGGCCCCCTGCAGCACAGCACAGAGCTCAGCAGTGGCTGTGGAGGGCAGATGTGTGTGAAAGGGTCAGCGAGGAGGAGGAGAGCGCCAGGCTATGAGCAGAGGGGGTCCCGAGGCAAAAGTGATAGAAAATCAGGGAAAATGGGGAAAAAAAAAAGAGAGGAAAAAGAGGCGAAGGGAGAAACGAACGAAAGCTGCCTGTATGTGGGAATATTTGGGGAGCGGGACAGAAGTGGCAAAAGCCGCTTGGAGGACGAAGAGCGAGCGGCGAAACGAAACGGCATCACCGCGCAGGGACGGCGCCGCCCGTGTGAATCGCGGCCCAACAGCGCCCCCTGGTGGCGCTGCGCTCCGGAACCGCGCGGCCCGAGGAGGGACTGCCTCGGAACCCTTGTTCCGAAAGTAATGCCTCCTGCTTGTTTCCACGGAAACTACAAAGAGCACGGCGACGCTTTTCGATAGAGCAGATTCTCAGCCACATGACACCGTTCTTTAACGGTCACCACCATGAGCTGTGCCTTTTAGGCAGCGATGAAGAGCCTGCATACCATTCCACTCTGCAGCGCATCACCTACCGCCTCACTGTGCTCCGTCAGCATTCACCAAACATCAGTGAATGTCAGTGGGTGCCTTTTTTTCTGCATGGAGGTGTTCAGTGTAACACCTTTGCTCCATCCTCACTTCCACCTCAGATGCCATTCTGGCAGACTGCCCCTCTGCTGCCATCCATCACATGGCAACAACATGGAATTGAGTATTCAGATACACAGAAGGTAAAACCTCTACTGCCACATCCCACCAACATCCGCCTCTGACATCACGGGGCAACACCATAAAATAGGAGGCATTACTTTTGGAGCGCTTTGGAGAAAGGGAAAAGCGAGCACGTGGAACTTTAGGAGGGGAAAAGTGGGGAGAAAACGAATGAGACAGGAAGGAGAAGCATACAAAAACAGCCATGGGAGTGATGGTAAGAAAAGGAAAAGACAAATTCAAATGGTGGGAATGAAACTTGTGTAATACACACAAGAAAAGGCAGAGAAACAGGACTGAAAGCCAAACTGAGCTATGGAGGGAGGTGAAGACCAAGGAGGATGCCCAGTTCGTGCAAGCAGCAAGGAGCCCTCGAGCATCCTAGGGGTGAGCACAGCACAGCCGTCAGCTCTGAGCCCCCCTGACCCACAGCCTGCCCCAGCCAGGGGATGCCCCCAGATGTAATAGGAGCTGATCCTGCACCCCTTCATTCTCCTCCTGCAGGAGCTTTCAAAAGCTTCATTTACTCGCAAGACAGCACAAACAAAACTGAGCCTCTTCCACATTTTCTCTCTAATTCACATTTCCCACAGCCCTAAAAAGTTTGGTATGGGTCGGTTTTACCTGGAGGGAAGGCAACATTAAGATGCCAGCAGCATCGCCCGGTACCATTGTGCAACAGATACATTACAGAACAGAGGCTGAGACCTGTCTTACTGGAGTTCCCCTGTGTTATTTCATGGCCAAGCAAGCATCGCTGCTCCCTTATCAGTTGCTGAGCAGGAGGCAACAAGCTTGAGCTCAGGAATGAGCTTTATCTGGTGGCACCAGTTCCCCAGGAGCATCTGGAAGAGAAGAAAGATTTCACCTCATGGCACCAGGGTTTGAGCCTCCATGTTTCACAGCAAATGCTCTGCTTGTAGGGGAATAGATGGGACGTCCACCTAGCCAGCGTGCTGCTTCACAAAAAAGAAAGAGCCCATTAGAATATAGAAAGTGGATTTAAACACTGAGAGCAAGTAGAAAGCAGGAGGGACTAAGGGGGTATTAATATTTATATTATGCTGGTGGCTTACAAGCAATAAAAATACTGCACTGCCTTACAGGAAAGGCTCCGAGGCCATCACTGCTGAGCACACAGCTCCTGGGGGATGCCTCAGCCTCAGCAGGGCTGTGCATGGCACAAACACCCAGAGAAGGCACTGCATGAAGACCTCAAGGACAGTAATGCACTGATGGTGCTCAGTGCTGCACCTACAGCGTCGCCTCCAGGAGCAGAGCATTGGTTTGCAGCTCAGGGGATGCACCTGGCTCTGTGAGCAGTGCTTTTCCTGCAGGACCTCTCCCAGCAGGTCCCAGGTTCACACTGTACATCAGTCGTTCCACCCCATCTCCTGTGACTCCACCTGCATCCCATAATCCAAGGCCACAGGATCTCTGTCCCCTCTGGGCAGGCAAAAGATCCCACTGATGTCCAGGAATTCCATGCCAAGAGAAAACCAAGAAGCACAAGAGAACCTACAAAGAGAGTAAGCCTGAAGCTCCCCGATTACACTGCGGTCTGACTGCAGCTCTCCAGCACCCAGCCCTCATTCATTACCTTATGCTTGGTTTAGGAAAGCTGGCTTGGCAGGCTGCCCATATGAATACACGAGGTTCAGCCCAAGCAATTTGAGTCCTTTCCCGCCATGAATGTGGCATAACTCCCCCTCTCCAAACTCACCACAGCCTTCTCCAGGTGAGAGCCACCTGCATTCTTCAATCTTCCTGATCGGGCCGTTCCATCTGCATAAACATAGAGCCATGAAGGAGAACAGCCACACCAACCCAAATCCCAAAAAAGAACCCGCTTAAAGGAGGCATTTATCAGCACAACTTATAAGGGACACCGTTCCAAAATTAGGAAGTGCTTCATTAAGCCAATGCCAGCCAGGAGGATGCCCTCATCCTTCACCAGAGGACAGTGACATTACCTGAGCTATGAAACATCGCAGTCAGCAGCAGGAAGACACCAAAGTCCTTATCACTAATCTTATCTGTAACTTTTATCCGTTGCCATGCAGAACTATTTGCATCCAAACCTGCAAAAGCAAGCGCTGCAAAAGCAATACCCAGCAATGGGCTGCTCACACGTGCCAGATGGAAAGCAGCAGGCATGCATGCAGTGATTTTGCACTAGGAACCCCTGTGCAACTTTGAAGTCGTGCTGTGAATGCCCTGTGCTAATCAAAACTTCACTGAGGCTGTTGGAATGGAGCTGCAGGTTGCAGCCACTGCTCTGCTGTTACACCTTGAGCCTGAGTGTCGTTGCCATGACACATGAAGTGTCTGAAGGTGCATCTCCAAGATACCAGACACCCAAAGCAGTGAGCACACATACCAAAGCATCTGTCCCTGCTGTAGCTGTTGCACTTTGCCCATCCAAATCCAGGCCTTGAGAACTTCACCTGACAGTCACCATTCTTCAGACACGGAGAGCAGCTCAGCCAGTTCTGAGCGCTGGGATGCTCTTATCCTGGCCCTGTAGACTTGAACGGGGTCCTGGAAGATGAAACTGCATTCTCTATATTATGCATTTGTATAAATAAATGCAATTATAAGTGTACATATATGAAGACCACGGTTCAGCAAGCCAGTCAGCTGTGCTCAGAGGGAAGAGCTGACCTTAGAGAAATCAGCCCTTGTGCCACCAAAGCTGAAACTGCCTTCAACTCTGATCTCAGAAAACACCAAAGCTGAAGTTGAACTTTGTTCCTTTCTTCTCTATTACAGAGGAAAGACAAACATTTGCATGGGGTTGGACTCTATGAAGTTCCCTCCCAACGCCTACAATGCTGTGATTGGAAGACAGAGGTTGTCTTAATGAGGATGTAAGTACACCCATCCTCCCAGATCTTAGGCCAGCTACGTGCTTTCCCCTTCCCAACTTTCATTATGAGATACACCTCATCTAACAGCCAAGCACGAAGACTTCTGGTCCAACCTTTACCAAGCAGCCTCTATCCTTGGTTTAAAGTTCTGCACATTGGAGTTATCCCAGCAGTGCTAAAAGCCCACGCTATTATTCCTTGTGCTGGTACACAAATGAAGAAAGATGGTCACCAGATTAGTCTCATATCTCAAGCAGCCCCACAGAATACTGATATGATACAACATCAGCAAGTTTTTGGCCTTTATTTGAAGGCTTTCAACAGTTACAGTAAGAATTGTCATTGCAAACCAGGAATTCTGAAAAAAATTGAACAATAAAAGTTAGAAAACATCCACGAGCCCAAGTCAGGCAGAATGGAGACTGAGCTTTTGGTTCTTCCATTCCCCTGTATTTCAAATATCTGACAAAACTAAGACACTAAGGAAGGCCGGGCTGCTCCATAGGCGAGCAGTACAACAGATTAACAGCACATACTGTACCACGTAGCAGAGCAGCTGTGTCAGGTCTGTGGGTTTGAGCTGGGCTTATCGTCATTTGCTTCCCAAAAAGGACACCAGCAACAGATTGTACCAACATTACCTAAGATGTGGTCATTTAAGCTGACCACGAGGCTGCCCCCCACCCTGGGGGCACAGAAATGATGTAAGGAACTGGAAATCTTAGCAGCATTTGACTTAGAAGACTGCAGTTTCAGTTGAGTTCCAATGCACATCAGGTAGGACCGCGCGTCCAGTCTCACAAAGCACAGCTTTCTGACTCCCAGCAGAGCACATTTGCTGGCTTTCAGTAGCAGAGCTCAGAACCAACCCCACACAGCCCACGGGTTGACCTGGGTGCCCCGCAGTCCCACACAAACCTCATCCTCACCACACAGACCTCAGGCAGCCCCACATCCCAGCACATCACTGGTGGAATAACGCAGCATTTCAAGTCGGTGGAAGCATGCTTCTGAGCTCCAAGTAACCAAGTAATGGTCAAGAAGATTTTATGTGCATCAAAAGCCCCCGGGTTCCACATCTGCACTCCTGCAGTGCAACCCCAGCTCCAGCACCAGTGATGTCCACCCTACAGAACAAAGCACTGCAGGAGGACAACATCTCAGTGGTGGGGATGAACTGCAGCAATGCTTCCCCCAGCACACTCCAAGGGAAGCTTCAGCATTCCTGCTACCCACAGGGACACACAGCTAGGGTTGGAGGGTGAGAGCTGACACTGCAGGTCCTCAATGCTCCAGCCATGAGAAGCATTGCGAGCTCTAGGGCTGCCTGACCACATCTGAAAGCACGAGACACTCCAGCAGACATGACACTCTTGAAATACAGAACTTTATTTAGAAACTGCTTAAAATAGAAAAACCCTGTCAAGAAAAATCCAAGTCAAATATGGTTTTCTCAGTAAAATGGAGTTTTAGGGCAACAAAAGTCTAAAAGGCCACAAGAGAAATAGCACCACTGCGATTTCAAACAATGGCTGGATACTTGCATTTTTTTGGCATTCACTGAATTTGGGTTTTTCTCTGAATTTCACAAAGATTCATGCACTACACAACAATTACCATAAGATGCTCTCCTACACACGTTTTAGGACAAGCTACCACCAGGAACGAATGAATACAGCACAACAGGACTGATGGATCTCAGTAGTGGAGGGGGATCAGAAGTCTTGCAGGATCTTGCCAAACACAACAGTAATGGGGGGGCATGAGAGCAAAAAAAAAAAAAAAAAAAAAAAAGGGACAATTAAAGAAAGTACTTTAAATATTAATATTTAAGTTAGTCTCAGTACTGTATTTTCTGCAATAACATTAGCTCTGTTAGCCAGCATCTCTTAGTTTTGACCCCAGAAGACCACTGAACTGGCAAGTGTTACTATTAGATAAGCCCTGATCTGAGAAAAAACAGAAAAGAAAAGAGAAAATCATCATCCTCATGTGCTCAATTCACTTTCATTCTATGAGCTGCACACAGCCCAACCCTGCTGCAACCACGGGGTTGGACCAGAGCACCTTGGGATGGGAAGGGAAGGGTGCGAGGCCATAAGCACACCAACAGAAACAAACAGAACAAGCAGAAAGGAGGAAAGCACTTCAGAAGAACCTTGTAGGCAGTAAGACTGGTGCCCTCTGCTTTCATTTATGGAGCTTTTTTTTCTTTAATACAGAAAACACAGTACGTTTTGGCAAAGCCATCAGCCACAATGCCATAGTAAAAAAATGCTTTAGCAGTCCTCAAGGTAATTTATGTGTCTCAGCTGTTCATACTCCCTCTAATCTTGTGACAGGCAACATTAAGGCCTATTTCATTGAGAACTAATCACTCGGTAAGCAGCTTTATGCAGGAATGGAGGTTTGTTTAAGAGCCCCTCGGACAGCAGGGAGGGGAGCGGAGCGTCTCCCCAGGATGAAGCACATAAAATCTCCTGTCACATTACTTCAATTTTGGCATTTGGAAGCATATTTTAAATACTCTTAAGGCATTTTATTATCATTTCCGTGCTGCAATTTCACATGAACTCCATCTTTCCATGAGTCAGTCTTTACGTTCTCTACTACACACCACCTCAGGTACAAAAAAAGTCTTTCCACAAACCAGTGTTTACCAGCAAACCAACAAGTTCCAAATGTTCAGCCTCTTGCTCCCTAAATATACCACCTAGATGTGAATACTGCTCTGCTACAGAGTGAGAGAGTTTCTAACTCAAACCCACTGCAAAAAGAGTGAAACTTCCGCAAAGTGCACTTTAAGAAGAGGTAACTTTTTTGCTTATGAAAAGAAACCAGTGAGTCCTCTAAGAATAAAGTGGAGTATTTTACAGTTAAGCACATGATCTGGGGCACAGAATTCCGATGTTGCTGCTCTGCTGGTACAGTGTGTGGTCTGTTAATACTCTTCTTGCTCCTCCTGCGGCGCTCCTTCGTCAGGTATCACAAAGCCTTCCTGCAGGGAACACAACGAGGCTCGATGAGAAGCCAACACCTGAGCACTTCCCAGCTCCCTGCACGCTCCTTTCATTTTAGTTATTCCTACTTTGGATCCTGACAACGAAGCACCCTTCAGTCAACCACTCACAGCATCCCCAGCAAACTCACTTTCTTCAGCTTTGACCTCTGTGTTACACACTCCTCAGGTGAGCCCAACCACGCTTGTGGCCTGACCATAACAATGGTATCTGGCCGTAAATTTAAAGGGGACAAAAAAAGGGAAGAAAACAAGCAGAAGAAACAAGACAGCTTCCCACAGTGAGGCAGGACAGGGGGGGAGGATGACTTACATCTGTGGCATAAAGAATTTCCACAATCCTCTGCAGCACTGGGTCGTTCTCGCCTTCGTTCTCCTGGCAGATCAGCTCAATGTTCCGCAATTTGCCAAAGTAGAAATCCCTCTCCTTCTCCAGGTCTTCAACAGTAAGCTTCAACACGTTGATCTGCCCACAAGAATCAATAATGATTTACCCACCAGAGGCATCTATCCTTAAGGTGGGGGTCCCCCAAGATGCTCAGAGGTGTGTTTGTAAGCAAAGCATTTCAGAAGTAACCAAGACATCAGGGAAAGGCTGTGAGGGCAAGAGGAGGTTCTATTTCTCAAGTTGGAGTATTTCTACAGCCAACACCCAGCCCAACACATGCAATGCCACATGGAAATTCTAAAGGCTTATTGCATGACATGGATAAAAATCCAACTGCCTGCAGCTTCTTCTGCTAACACATTCCTCCAGGACAGCCCTCACTGGTAGCAGCTTCAGCTCCATTGCATTCAGCATTTCGGGGACGCAGCAGCTGCTCATAGTTCCGTTGGAATGCTGTGATAGCTGCAACACAGCTGTGGAAATACTTGAAAGCAAAGCTATGTGCGATATGGGACACAGCAGATTTAAATGTCTGGGGGCTTGTACTGCAAAAGGGGCTTTGCTGCTATCAGGAGAGCAAGGCCAGCACACCAAAGGCTTCTGATTAAGCCACTTTAAATGAACCTACTAGACAGAAGAAAGCGATCTGTCTCTCCCCAGCACAGCCATTTCATGCTATTAAATATCTATACCTATACATCCAACAGAAAGCCCAGGTCAGTACCTCAGGTCATTCTGGCAACACACCTGCTCAATCAACCCCGCTGATTCATCATCTCCCGCAGCCTTTTTGACCATCCCAGTGCTGCCTTTGGGAGTTGCTGGGGTCCTCTGTGCAACAATGGGCCTCTGTGGGGCTGCAAGATAAATGTGCTGTTACTTCTTCCCAGAACACCCCTCCTCCTCCCCCAGAGGTGGGGTCCCCCTTCCAGGCACGTCACGATTTGAAGGCACGTTCATCAATGAAGTGTTCCTTCTTCACCCCCCCCCGCCACGTCCACTGCCTTCAGCACACCCTGACACCAACCCTTGCCATTCTCTTTCTGTAACTCCTCTCTGTAACTCACTCAGAGACTGAAGCCCAGCATTTGAGATGAGACACGACATCTTCATACACCAATTTTAAACCATGGAATGGCTTGAGTTGGAAGGGATCCTTAAAGGCCATCAGGCCCAACCTCCTGCAGTGCACCCACGGGTGCAGCTCCTCTGCATGGACACCCACAGCTCCATCAGTGCTCACAGCCCCCAGCCTGACCCGAGTGCCTGCAAGGCTGGGCACCCACCTCATCTCTGTGCCACTGCCTCACCACCTGTATTGTCAAAACCTTCTCCCTTATATCCTATCTAAACCTCCTCTCCTTTAGCTTCAAGCCATCTCCCCTTGTCCTATCACACAGACCCTGCTTAACAGTCTGCTCCCTTCTTTCTTACAGCCCCTTTAGATACTGAAACAGTGACCCAGCCTCATTTCCCTCAGTTTTTAAGGGCTTGAGATCATCTTGAACTCGTTTCTACCTGCACTGCCAGTACCGAGAGGTTTCTTGGGTTTGTTCACCACTGGAGCAACGAGGTTTGGTGCCATTGTCTCCTGGCCTTGTCGGGCAGCCACAGGGTCGTATTCCTTCCCATCATAGTTTGCATCAAAAAATTTTTTGAACCACTGAACAAATTCAAAGTTGTCCTGAAATTTTCCTTTCACTAGTTTGTCCACAGGAATTATCTGGAGAAAAAAAAATAGCAATAAATAATAAAACGTGTTGTAAGGGGAAAGAACCTCTCTGCCTTATATAATAAGGGTTTTTAAATTGGAAGCAAATGTAATTCTTTGTTTATTTTGGAGAAAAAGCAGTAAATTGTGAAGTCTTGCCTGTAAGCCACGAGTTGAGAGCCTGAGGTCTGGCAGTGGGCAGAAGGCATTCCCTTGATTCCCCTTTTGATTCCCTGTGAGCACAGCCCTGCTGTGGGCACACTGCTCCAGGTACAGCCCCAGGGGGAGAGGAGAGATGCAGCGTTGGAGCTGCTGGCCAACACAGCACGAGATGCCCTCTTCATTGGGAGCAGCTTTAGCAAGGGAATGCTCTGCACTGCACCAAGCATGCCACCAATAACTTCTACCTCCATAAAGCACTCTTCCATAAGCACAGCACTCACTTGATCCAAACACGTGTTTTCAAAGACCCCATTCTCACTGGTGGAACAACACACACTGACTGGTAAAGAGGAATGGGAAATCCTTAAGAGCAGCACACCAGCAGATTATTGGGACGCACTGCTAGGAACAGCTTCATGCCACATAAGCTCAAACATGATTTCTCAGGTTTCAGTACTGGTCAACACTACATAAGTTGAATTAATATGGAAGAAACTATCTCCAGCATTAAAAACTGCAAACGCAACCTTTGCTCTCTAGTAAATATTGCATTAATTTAGGTGTGAACCAAAACTTGTGAGATTTGCAAGCCGACAACCAAACCCTGCCCCCCAGATTGCAAAGTGCACACCACCCGTTTGGATGCCAGGAACAAGGAGAAGCAACTCCAACCCAACTTACTTTGTCAACGCCCATTCGTTTGAAACCTGCTTGTAGAACCTTGAAGTTCTGAATGTATTCATGTTCCAATTTTGCTTGAAACTTCACCTTCTTGAGAGCTACTGAACCTGGGAAGAGCATGTCCATGAACTGGCAGTAAGCAGCACCTGTGAGAGAGAAGAATAGCATTCCATGATGAACAACAGATGATCAGCCAGAGCAGCACACTGCCCAGCCTCATTCCACCAGGGCACAAAGCCCTAGGGGAACAGAAAGGACATAACAGGACCCCTTGGCCTGATTTGGAAGCGTGGCTGTAAACAAGCTGCAGAACTAAGGGTCTGGCCCCATGGCTTGAGCTCTTGTACCCAAGAGCAGTAACACCTCTGTAATTCCAAGAGGGAAAATCCAACTCAATGTGGCATCCCATCCCTCATGGGCATCAGAACTCTTATCAACATTAACAGAGCTGAACTGGAAGAAGTATTCTTCTAAAAATTATGTTTAGTTGTTATTAAAATAGTGTCTTATATACTACCTACAAAGTTCAAGGTGCTCTCAGAAGTAAGAGAGTAAAGTAAGTTGAATCACATTTCCTTTCAGCATCTGAAGGGGCTGTAAGAAAGGAGGGGAGAGACTCTTTAGCAGGGTCTGTGTGACAGGACAAGGGGAATGGTATCGAGATAAAGGAGGGGAGGTTTAGATGGGATATAAAGAAGGTTTTTACAGTGAGGGTAGTGAGGCAGCGGCACAGAGACGAGGTGGGTGCCCCATCCCTGCAGGCACTCGGGTCAGGCTGGGGGCTGTGAGCACTGATGGAGCTGTGAGTGTCCCTGCTCACTGCAGAGCTTGGAGGAGACTTGAACGGGTCCCTTCCACCTCAAACCATTCTATGGTATTTAAGTCACACTTTAATCAGAGAACTGAAATAAGACACTATTTCCTTCCTGTTCATTTTAAATCCTTCAAGTCCTTCAATTCAGCTCTCACTGTAATAGGGAGGGGTGGTTCAAGCAGAGAGCCACCCCCAATGATGAGCTTTTGCACAACACCCCCCCATAAAGACAGCTTAAAACTGTGTTAATTACGCTGCAGTGATGATGCACACTTGTGTGTCATCAGCAACACAAGCACAGCATTCTGAGCGTGACATCTCACCCCACATCAAACACTTGAGAGGACACAGAGAGCAATGGGAACCTTAACTTAAAACAAATAGCTGCATAGCAAACGTCTGAGGGGCACGAGGCCAAGAAGCAGTGCACTGTATTGCCCTGAGCCAGCCCAGCTCCCTGCAAAGCTTCTGGGCCCCAGACTGAGGTGGAGCACACTGAGTTCAGCCCAGCAGTGCTCATCGCTTCTCCTCTTTGTGGCTGCAGATCTTCAGTTTCCTTCAGCCCCAGAGTTTTTCCTGCATCACCTTATTAGACAGAAGCCACCAGAAATACCTGCCCGACGTGTATTCTGAGTTCCCTCCTTCTCTCCATCTTTGGGAACACTCCTTCCTCAGCCCCACGCTGCAGTGCCAGCTCCAAATGTAAACTTCTGCCTCCTTTTGTTCAGCCCCCGACCGCCTTATTCCAACCTCACCGTGTGAGATGTGCTCCTACCTCTCCTACCCGGGCCCTTTCATCTCCCTGCTGCAGTTATTCAAATCACCACCTCTCACCCAGGCTGCCTTCTTAGCCTTGGGTTTGCTTTTCTTTCCGCGTTGCCCCACAGCCCATTATTGCTCTCTTCCTTTCACCCAGCCTCCTCCCCCACACTCCTCCCTGCACGATGACATGTGACTTCACTTCTGGAGCACCAGCACTTCCCCTTTCGCTGCACACCAGACATTCAGCTCCGGCAGATCAGCTCGCAGTGACTCCGGGTCAGGCTGAGGTGCTCCTTCACTACAGGGGGGGGGGGGTGGAAATTCCCAGGGGTGAACCCAGACCCACCAGTGTGTTCCCTCACACCCCTGTGCCCTGTCTGAACCCGCAGGCACTTCCCTATGGTCTTCCCCCATAAGGGATCACATCCGTTTATGCTCCTTACTGCACTCCCAGGACTTCTCCTGCCCGTTCAGGCTAAATACTTGGGCTCCCCACTAGCAAACAGCCTCCCTAAGGAGCCTTTCCTCCACATTGACCCTAATTTCTTCTCATCCCACTTTTGCTGTAGCAGATCAGAAGATCATAACTTCCCATTACGTTCCCATCACGTTTTCACTATTAAAAACCGTTTCAGTACAACTCCAAACCATTATAACACCAAACGCAGGCCCAGCACCGCCCACAGCTCCGCTCCCACTACCGACACAGCCACACGGCTGCTTCCACGGACCTCTTCACCACCTCTCAGCTCCAAACCAAACCCGGACGTCCCTCCCCGCACCCCTCACCTGAGCACAGCTGCTCGATCTTGGTCAGCGTCAGCTGCAGGGATTCGTTGATCCACGCCAGCATGTCGTGCCGGCTCAGGTTGTCGCTCGTCACCGACGTGGAGTACACATTCACAGCCATTTTCTGCCAGACAGAGCAGCGGGTGGGACCGCCGCACCCGCTCACGCCGCAGCCCCATCGCGGCTCGGAGCCCCGCACGCAGCGTTCCCCCCCCTCCCCCCAACACCTCCCGGCCCTCTACCCGCTCGGATCTTCCCTCCCCGCGGAGCGAACCAGCCCCACAAAGCGACGCCTCCCCGCAGCACCCGCGGCGGGCACAGCCGCCCGCACGCCTCCGCAGCACAGCGCAGGGCCCGCGCCCCTCCCTCCTCCGCCGCGCGGCCCCCGCGGAGGGGCGCGCCCGGAGCCAGGCCGAGCCCCGCATGCCGCACCCGAGCTCCCCGCGCCCGCCGGCCCCGCGCGCCCGCACCCGGCTACCCCAACCCCGCGTCCCCCCGGCCACCCGGCCCCTCCCGGCCCGTTACCTGCCCCGCTCTCGCCCCGTCCCCTCCGCGTTCAAACCGGCCCCGCCCGCTGCCCGGGACCACGTCACGCGCACGCGGCGCGCTCACGTCACCTGCGCAACGTCACGGCGGCCGCAGCGCAGGAAGAACGGCGTGCTGGTGCGGGGGGGGGGGGCGGGGCCACAGTGCGGCTCCGCCCACTCCTGAGCGCTCGCTTGCGATTGGTGGGTCCCGCTAGCCCCGCCCACTCCGCGGCCCATTCATTAGCGCTCGCCGGGATGCCGCGTGCCGGCGGGGCAAGGCGATGAATGAACGCGGTGCGCGCAATGCGCGCCGCCGGCTGGCGCAGAAACACAGCTTTCAGTCTTTTAATTCCGCGGTGCTGCGTGGCAAGCGCGAAATCATCGATCCCTTTCCTTTCCCCATATGAAAATCGGTAAACTGCTCGGCCAACGCACCGTTTTGAGTTCCCAGTACAAAAAAAACAAACCAAAACACCATATGAAACACATTCAACAAAACAATACGTTTTTGTTTTTTTTTTCTTTTCCTCTTATTTTAAAAGATTGTATAAAAACCCACAAAACTTTGGACATCAAAAATCCTTTAACTAAAAAAATAGCACCAGGGAGAGTTAGAAACCTTTACAAAGCATTAAAAAAGGCATTTCTGAGATCTACCTCCTTGCAACGTGTTTATGAGTACACCATAAAAGGCAGCATTCCAAGGAAGACTTGTCTACTGCGATTCTCATCAAGTCAGCTTAATGCCAGGACCGTTCTCGTTCCCCTTTTATCTTTGTTTGCTTTCCCCAAGTCCTTTTTTTCTCTATTTTCCTTTTGATCAGACGGGAGGGGATGAGAGATCTGGCACATGAAATGGAGGATGCGACGGAGAGGAGCCCGCATGGCTTTAAGAAACAAAATTCATGGGATGGGGTGGCAGAGGGATGGGCACCCCGGTGGCACCCATGGATGGACCTTGGCTGCTGCTGGGTGACAGCAGGGGGTGGTAACACTGCCTGCCCTGCCCACCCCATGCACTCATTCTCAGAACATTTTCCCCTCCGGTCACTGCAGCCCGATTTTCCAGCCCCAATGAAACCATTCAACCCACTCAGCAGGATTTTGAAACGTCAGGAAAAAAAAAGGGAAATGCTTGGAAAAGGACGTAGTGAATATCTGTAAACTACAGCTGAACGCATAAAACAGTATCTCCCTAACTAGAAAAGTAATTCTATCATCTCACAGTTCAGTTTCAGCTACATTCAGGTCTAGGAGTCTCCACATTCTTATGTAATGCCTTAAAGCAGCAATAGACATTAAACAACAAAATGTAAAGTTTTACAAAAGGTCTTAAAAAATAAAAAATAAAAAAAGATTTGGTTTGTGTGTTCTGCATGTTCAGTGTACATAACCTGACCCGGGGCCCTCACACCTGCTGCTGCAGCTTGAGGATTTTTGGCAGTCATTTCAAGAGAGGTTTATGCTTGTTTAGGAGGTGAGCAGCTCTGTATCCACATTTGCAGCACGCCAGCAGCTGCCTCCACCACTCACTGCTTTCCAGCTCTGGGCTCAAGTGGAACATTCAATGCTCTGGAAGAGACTTCTCGCCTCATCAGTGATGCACGCAGCTTTGTGCTGGGTGATTAAAGCTCGTTTTGTCCATCATTTCCCAGGCAGTGCTGTCTGTAGTCCCATCAGGAAGGCACCTGGCCAGGTTCTTTGGTTGAAGGCGCTTCCCGAGCCCTGCGGCAGCGGGGGGCACAGTGCTGGGAATGGTGAGCACAGGGCTGAGCCCTCCTCGGGCAGCAGAGCTGCGTTGTGACGGAGAGACGAGGGATGCAGCATGGGCTACTCGCAGGCAAAGTAATCCTTGAGAGGGGAGAAGAGGTGCTGGATGACAGGGATGCTCCAGGACCTTCCGAGCAGCTTCTGGCGAGCCCCACGGCTGATGTTGGAGACGTCGGTGCAGTGCAGGGGGAAGCCAAAGATCCTGGAGGGCAGAGGGATGGGTGATGCTCAGCAGCTGCCCCGTGCCCATATGGCTCCTATCCAGCCTCCCGGCTTCACAGCCACCCCTCACAGTCCCCACGTGCCACCAGACCTCAGTGCCATCACACCCCACAGCCACCAGATCCTGGTGGCGCCACAGACAGGCACTACAACCAAGGGAAGGCAGGGAGTCATTTCTCCAGGCTCCCGTACTAAGGTCAAAAATAAGAGAGTAATCTTGGCTTGTGCTTATTGCCCACCCATCTCAGAGCACCTTGCACAATTTGTTCAATGTCAGCCCATGTCACCACTGCCCATTTTTCCCAGTAACACCTTCGGAGGAGCCTTGAGCCCACGGACCCTGCACCATGAGACCTACTCCCAGCACTGCCCCAGGATCCTCTGGCTAACACCGGTGCTCCCACTGCTTGGATGGGAGTTCAACTGCCACATCTCCAAGGGCACGGCCTGACAATGGCTCAGTAATTGCTGTTTAACTTTCAAATCCCTGCATGCCTCTGGCTCAGCTTTAATTAGTTTCAATTCCAATAAATATTGGCAATTTAAATATAAACAAGTGAAAAAAAAAATAAGCCTGTTTGCTGGCTGAGGCCTTAGTAAGCAAAAACTCAGCCTTGCGCATGTGGAGTGCAGGACTGCTAGCAATTGCAGTCTGCTCTACTCATCGTGTTGCACTTTGCAGCAAATTTGGGGTTGCTATAAGTCGTGAATAGAGCCTCGAGCTGGGCTCAGCTCCGCACACATCCAAGCACTGTGCACAGCAGCGGCACTTCCCTACAGTGGCTGCAGCTCTGGGGACAGCAACACTGCAGTGTCAAGCGGCACAGAACCTTAAAAGTACCACAAACAAAGTGAAACCATGGCTGAACGTTACCTGTTCATCCCTGGGAGGTTGCCCCAGAAGTAGCGTGCTCTGTGCGCAGCCGATATCTTGATAGCATCGATCATAACAGGGTTGCACTGCAGCCCGAGAGAAGGAAAGCAAGTTAGCAGAGGGGTCAGGGCTTTTTTTTTGCTGGGAGCAGCCCTCCATGGGTAAATGTGGGTGCCCCATTCCTGCGCCCTTCCCAAAGCCGCAGCGATGCCTACCTCCAGGAACCGAGAAATGTCCCTCTTGTCGTTGACCCTCATGGCCACCACGTTCTCAAACATCCAGAAGAAGGGCCGCTCCTCTCCAGCCTTGGGACGGGCGTAGTTGAGCAGATGGTAGAATTCGAAGAAGAGCCGCCCGGTGCCCTCCGTGCGGGGGGACCCAGCAGGGGTGTTAGGAGGGGACCGCCCGCGGCCCCGCAGGTTTGGCTGAGGCGTGGGGACGGGCTCTGGTGGGCCTGGGGGAGACAGCGCTTGGCACGCATCCCCGGACGGAGCCACCGCAGAACTGCGTCGCCGGCCCCAGGCAGCCTGGGGGCTCCCAGCCCCGTGGGGCCAAACAGCCTCACCGTACGGAGCCTTCCTGGGCGGGCTGGCGAGCGAGAGGTCGTTACAGGGGCTGCCGCCGATCACCAGGTCAAAGGGACCCCACTCCTCGATCTGCAGCGGGCAGACAGAGCTGGTTATCGGGGCACAGCACCTACCCAACCCTTCCTGAGCCAAGAGCAGCGCAGCTCACATTTCTCTTTGTGATGTTCCTGACGTCGTGCACATAAGTGATGTTGCCCTCGTGCCGCACGGTGCCCACTGCCAGGGGGTCCTCGCAGATCTCGGAGGCGATGTACTTCTCCACTTGGATGCCCAGGTCCTTCAGCACCAGGTACCCTGCCCGGGGATGGGGGGGCTGAGGGCTTTGCAATGGGACCACAGTGCCCACAGTGCAGCCACTGCACCCAGCACAGCCTGTGGGCACCATCCCCACCCCCTGCTCTCCTCCCTGCTTCCATCGATGGGGATGCACCTGCCCCATCCCCTTCTCCCCAAGCTTTCTGATAGGCTTGAGGCTATCAGAGTACCTTCTTCCAGCACCTCACCTGTTGCTATGCCATCAAACAGAGAGAGCACTCTGATGGGTCTCCTCTTGGCTGGTGGCACTGCTGGGTAGATTTTGGGTGCATCCTGTAATGGAAGACAGCCGTGAGACCCTGTTTCCCCTTGCAGCAGAGCCCTGCGGAGCTCAGGGCAGTGCTGCAACGCTTCCCAAGTCCAGTTCCCTTCACAGGGAGCATCCGTGGGGGGGGATGAGCCCAGCACACCTGGATGGCCTAGATGAGATTGAGGCAGGGCCAGGACCATTAACCCCTCTCCCCTAACCCTGTGCACCAGGCTCACTGCCCTCATCCCTTACATATTCCTGCCCCTTGTCACTGGTGAAGAAGTCCTGCAGACGTGAGCTCCAGTCCTGCCGGCGCTGCAGCACCCCGTAGCTCCTCTGGGGTTGGCACATGTAACAGTTCCAAGGCTCCTGCTCTTTCGCCTTGGCTGACGAGCCTCGTCCCACCAGGACCTCCAGGCATTCCACACAGAAGCACCTGCCCAGACACAGCACCCCTGGGTGTCAGCCCAGCTTCTCCTGCAGCCCTGTCCCATTTTGAAGGATGCTCTCCCCGACTGACAGCATCTCAGGATTTAGGGCTGCTGACACAGATTGATGACTTAGGCCTGGGTAAATCTCCTACCACCCTCCCCAGGACCTGTCCAAGTACAGCCAGCTCTGTTTTGTCCCAGTGTAGTGCCCTACTCCCCCCTGGCCCCCAGCCCAGCACCAAGCTCTGCAGGGACTACCAAGGCATGGGGGACCCACCTGCAGCAGCTGGCATTGCTGCAGAGGAGCAGCTCCTTGCCCTCGCAGCACACGGTGCAGTAGGACTGGTAGCCATCTTCGTCATACATGTAGAAGAGCTCCAGGAATCTATCCTGGCAGAGGGCAGATGGGAAGAGAGCATCAGGATCTGTACTCAGCTCCCCTCCAGCCCCCAGTTCAGAGATATGCATCCTCAGTGCCCCCTGGGCACCACCCACAGCATGCAGGGAACTCAGAGGGGACCATGCCAAGGGATGACCCTGAGGTGAGCATGGCAGGTTCAGGTCTGGCAGTTTCCCCTATCATCCCCATCCCATTCCCAACCCGATGGCTGCAGCCCTGCTGGCCGCTCTTACCCTGCAGGTGTGGCACAGGCCCCCCTCAAACAGCGGGTGAAAGGTGGCTGGGTTCCTCCTCCCGCATGACAAGCAGCTGTCTGAGGGCAGAGAGAGCTCCACTCATCCCATGGCTCCTTACAGCCCATGGCCAAGGGACCAAGTGGGGTTGGGGACATTGCCTCAGCTGTGGGCAGGTCCCAGCCTTGCAGCCCTGTCCCCAGTTTAGCACAGTGCATTTAAAAAAGGACCAATGGGTTCTCTCTGGTGCCGCCCTCCAGCACTTCCATCACTCCCAGCCCTTGTATCAGGATAGAACAGGCAAATGCTTACCTTCCAGACTCCCGCTGTTGTTTGTAACTTCGGAAACCATTTGTTCTTTAAAAAAAAAAAACAAAAGAAAAAGATTTAGCATTCCATAAAGTAACTTTCATACTGAGCAGGTAACAGAGCCTGACTTGCAGTTCTGCAGTCACAGTTTGGCCTTTAAGGCCAGCCAGAGCATAGAGGGTTTTTTTGCTTAGGAACCCATGCACTGCCCACACCACATCCCAGTACCTCGAGTCTGGTCCTCCTCCATGCGCTGCTCCTTGCTGCTGTTGCAGGGGTTGCTCTTCAGCCTCTTGGTGGGAGGACAATGCTCAAGGCACAGCACCTCCTCTGTGCCGTTCCTCAGGACCCCGTTTTCTGCAAGGGACAGGAGCTCCAGTGGGGACACATGGGGACATCAGCCCCTGAGCTTTGTCACAGTCCCACCCCAGAACCCTTCCTTAAGGCTCCGGCTCACCCCAGGGTGCAGTGCTCATATGGGATGCCACAACCCTGCAAATCAGCAGAGATCATCTCTGCCTACTGGCATCCACTGCAGGGCAGAGCTACCATTTTTGCTCCTTCTTCCTCCTCTCAGCAGATGAACTGAGGGAGGAGCTGAGTGGGACCCTGACCTTGTTTGCTCCCCTCCCCATGGGGTCTGTGCTTCCTTCCACTGCTGCCCCCAGATCCACAGCCCCAAGGTGACCACAGATCACATTTCATTGCCAACAGCAACATTTTGGAGAACGCTTCAGTGTGCTTTTTGGAGCCCCCAGCACCATGCCCAGCTCCTACCACCAGCCCACCTGAGCTTTTGGGTGGCTGCAGCCCTTTCACACCCAGTGGTTTGAAGCCAGTGAGTGCCCAGTCGATCATGGGCTTCAGCTGCTCCTCCAGGGACTCCCCAGGGGCAGATGTGAAAGTCTTCCCTGAGCGGCTCCGGGCAACCTGCAAGAGGAGGGCAGTGGAGCACAGTGACAAGGCATGGGGGGGGGGGTAGTCCCCTCCCATTCCCAGCAGCAGCTGCCAGATTCCAGCACTGGGAGTGCCATGGCCACGCCAGCTCCCAGCTGCCCCCCACCCTGTGCTCCCTATAGAGTCCAGTTCTGCTCTGCAGTTATACCTCCAGGGCATGGTATATGGCTCGGCGGTAGGAGACCAGCTTATTGAACGTGGCAGTATTGAAATGCTGTCTGAAGGCCATCAGTCCTACCAGCTTGTCTGCAGAAACCTGGGACAGAGGGACAAAAACTCAGTGACACGACTTGCTCCTGTCCCCATATAGCGTGGTACAGCTCTGGCAGAGAAGATAGCAGTAGCTTTGCATGGAGCAAGCCACGCTGCAGCAGGAAGGGAGGACAGAGGAATCATTGCACACGTGGCTATGATAGGCTGTGTGCACCCTCTGCTGGCACTGAGCCTCTGCAGCATGGCACCCAGCATGGGGCTGTGGGAAGGCAGTGCTCAGCAGGGCACGGAGTGAGGGGGGACAGCTGGGACAAACCAGGAAGGAAGATGGGAAGGGGACGGGCTGCCAGCATCAGTCAGGAGAGCATCCCAGAGCTGCAGATTGCAAAGCGCTGCACTCCCTGCTCCGGGGAGGCTGCAGCTGGACACACACACCCAGCCCCAGGCACAGGCAGCCGTAGAAATGGGCACAGATCACAGGGATTGGCACAGGAGGGGCTCCAGCCCACCCCCAGCCAGAAGCAGCATGCTCACCTCGGAGAACTTCCCGTCCCCAAACCACTGCACCCATCGCATGCCCGACACCGCCTGGCGCTTGGACGTGGCTCTGTAGGAAACGACGATCGCCGGCCACCAGGAGAAACCCTTGATCTTCCCCCAGACGAGCTCCCCGATTCCAAATTCCTTCCCGTCCTGAAAGCAAAGGATAACACACAGATGAACCAGAAGCATGTACGCTTTGTCCCAGCACCCACACAAGGACGCCCTGGGCTGCTGCAGTGCAGAGGAACGGCTGGGCACCATGCAGAGCTGCAACAGCACTCGTGTGGAGTTCTGCAAGGATGCTGCCAGTCCTCAGACTCCCCTGAATGCTCTGAGGCAGCTGGGGCTGGGTCCCATGCCCCAGGCAGCTCCTGCTCATGGGGCAACAACCCATTCATCTGTCTGCAGCACAGTGAGAGGGCACCCACCCTCCTCTGCTGCCCCCAGGGCACAGCAGGAACCAAGGCAAAGCAAAGAGAGCAAATACAGAGCTGGGACAGTTAGTTGGTGTGGCTGAGAACCTCCAGCAGGCAGCCCGGCACTGCACTGGCTCCAGGATCTTCCCACAGGAGCTGTTGTCTCATGAGTAGAGCACTCCTTCAAGTTTTGTTCAGCAATTAGGCACCTAATTATTCAGCCAAAAGCAATTGCCCAATTCCTGCAAGTCTCAGGCCCTGCCCTGACGCCATCAGGCACCAAATCACTCTGCTTTCACTCCCCCTTTCAGCATCTCCCAACAGAAGGACATTCTGCAGGCAGGAAGCCGCCCATCCCAGCAGGCACAGCTCCCAGCAGGCACGTGCTGCACTCAGGGCTGCTGGCAGTGCTGAGCTGCACACAGTAGTGACGGCTCAGCGCTGTGGCACAGCCCCTGCTGCCAGCACCCAGCGGGCACAGACCCACCACCTTCCCTCCACCCAGCACAAGAAGGGGGTGCTGGAAGAGCACAGCCTCCCCTCTACCTGGTACTCCAGCGCAATCCCTGCATCCCGGCTCTCTGGCTCCTCAGCCACCAGCTCAGTGGAACCGTTCTGGCCCTCCTGGGAGCTGCTCCCCGACAGCGTGCTGCTGCTCTGCGATGAGTCCCGTGAGTCTTCCTCCGTCAGGTCGATGGTGGTGAGCACAGGCATGGCCGTCCTCCTCCGGGAGCTCTGTGTGGGAGGGAGCGGTGTGAGAACCCACTGGGAACAGGGAGCAGCCCCCACCACCTTGTCCCTACAGCACAGCACCACCCCCAGCCTCTGCGGTTGGGATCAGAGGGTCCAGGGCTGGGTGCAGCTAAGGGAGCACTGCTGCGTGCGTATGACACACAGCAAAAAGGCCAGCTCTTGCTTTCCTTCCTTCATTTCACCCCAGGCAGTCAAAGCACCCAACTCAAAAGCACACACACATCACAGAGGGAAACTGAGGCACGGGGCATGTGGCACTCAGGCCACCCCCAGCCATGCAGACAGCTCCAGGTCCCTCAGCTCTCACCCGCAGCGGAGCTGGCAGTTCCCTGAGAGCCTCCACGCTGCTTGTTTCCTTGATCTGCATCTCGTGGGGGGTCTGCCCTGCTTGGAAGATGAGGCGGACGGGGGGCTTCTGCCGGAGGCTGCTCTCCCAGCCAGCACTGCCTCGGGGCCGCACCTGTAGGATGGAGCAGAGGTGAGCAGCTCACAGGGACACAGACAGCATCGGAGATGAGGGCACAGGGTAGACCCCGAACAGAACTTGCACACCCCACAGTGTGCTCAACCCCACAGCCTGGAGGCACTGAGGGCAGCTTTTCCCCTGCGGTTTGCAGCAGCCCAAACCAGGCATGCTTCTGGCATCCGGCACAGCGCTTTCGAAATGAAGTGAGATTTTTACAGCAGGGCTCTGTGAGTGAGCAGCCCCTGCACGTGGCACTGTGGGAACGCAGAATTGTCACCCCGGCTGAATTTATGGCTCTTTCTTTTCAAAGCCTCACAGTCACGGGCTGATCTCCAATCTGCACTCACCTCCTGCGGTTCCATCAGTGTGAGAGGCCAGGACAGCTCCTCCTTGGACAGGTCTTTGCTCACCCTCTTGTTCTTCAGGGGTGCCAGCTCCAGGCTCCCAGCATCTGTGCAAGGGAGCAGAGCAGACTCAGCTCTATGAGCTGATCTCATGAGAGTGGTGTGTTGGGATGGGAAGAGATTGAAGACTCATCTTTCAGACAACGCAGTGAGAGCAACACTTTTGATAGTCTGATCAAGTTTGCTATTCATTCGCTTTCCAAAGCAGAAACTCTCCCACAATCTGGCCAACCAAGAGCCAGAATCTGGGCACCACAACTCGAGCACTATAAAGCTGGGGCACATCCTGACCCCAGCAGCACACAGCTTGGACCCCCCAGTCCCACTTACCTGGGGTGCTGGGCTTCCCACTGGCCTCCAGCAGCAGGGCAGCTGTGTCCTTAGTGGGATCGGTGCAGTCCCTGTCGAAAAGGATCAGCTCTGCCCTGCAGTCCGCCTCATCCCGGCCATGGCTCTTCTCCTTTTTCATGGCTGCCTGTGGAAGCAATAGGGGATCGTAAACTTAGCCAGCCAGAGACCTCTCTGGCTGGGAAAGGCAGAGCAGGTTGTGTGAACTATTCAGGCCAGGCACAGCCTATTCCCTTAGCAGCTCTCCTACAGTACCCAGGGCAGGCAGAAGGCTCTGGCTGGGGATGCATCTGCAGTAACACTGGGTGCTGATGGGCACCTGGACAAAACCTCCCTGAACGTGGCCCTGCAGATTCACCAGCTCCAGCAACCCAACACATCTGCCCCTAGAGAAGCACCAGGGCTATTCCCAGAGCTATTCCCAGAGCTATTCCCAGCCCCACGTGTCCATGGAGCACTCCCAGGCTCTGTGCTGTGCCCAGCCGTGGCTCAGACCCTTCCCACGCCTTCCATGCATGCGGCACGTGGGGATAATCCTGCCCCCAGCCCCCAGCCCCACGCACTGAGCTCCTGCCCTGCACAACCCACAGCTGCAGCAGTGGATGATCATTGCAGACAGGGCACAGCCAGCAGCACCGTGGGGCCAAAGTCCTGTGCCTGCCCTGCTCAGCCCCCCGAGAGGCATGCGGGCCGGTGCAAACATCTGCATGTGCAGCCATTTGCACGTCAGCCGGCTCTGCCGCTCCTCACGCAGGGTCAGGCAGCTCCCAGCTCCCCGCAGCAGCTGTAGCCACACTAGCCACACTTTCACGAGACCCCCGCAAAGCCGAAACCGCCAGGAGCTCCGAGGCCAAAGGCAGATTGACCCCAAAAGAGCAAAGCGACGCTGAGCCCGAGCTGGGCGTTGCCAAACATTCCCGCCACGGAGACCTCTCCCATTCCCCAGCAGCACCCCCTGCCCTGCAGCAGCCATTTCACAGCAGCAGCGCTGGAAGCGGAGGGCTCCAGGAGCAGTGGGACACGCCTCGCCTGCGCCCGCCACCTCTGCCTCCCCGCGGGTGCCCTTCCTGGATCGTGTTTTCGGAAGCGCCAGCTCCCAGAAGCTCCCAGTCTCTCCCAGAGGCACCCAGGACGGTGCTAACGAAGCTGCCTCATTGCCTGGCTATGGGTCTGTGCTGCGACTTGCCCCTTCGCCAGCGCCGTCATTTCAGGAGCGCGCAGATCAGCTCGAGGAGTCGGGGAGCGAACGGCTTCACCCCTCCAAGGCCCTGGGGGGGAGGGAAGCATTGCAGCCCCCACCCCCAGCCCCGGGCTCCAGCCCGGCCGCCCCTTCCCCAGCGCTCCCGCTCTCAGCATCGCCTCCGACTGCTTCACTAACAATTGAGATTTCTGCTTTGAGATCATCTGTCAGCACCTCTGGCAAACAAAGACCAGTCGGGGTTTGATGTTTTGGATGCAGAGGGTTGCATTAAAACCCCGGTAAAACCCAAATGTGAGGGGAATCAGGTGCCTGGCCCCCACCACTCCGGGCAGGGACCCCAGGCACACATCCTCCCCCCACCAGAGACACGGCTCTGTAACAAAGGGACGAGGAGGGAAACTGCACTGGCGGGAGCCTGAACCACATAAAGCCCTACAGCTGTGCACAGAAATCCCACTGCTGCAGCACATCTGCTCCCAGACTAGTGAAGAACTCCCAGGAGCTGCCCAGACTCACCGTGTGCCCCCGGCTGCCCTGGACACTTGCAGACACAGCCCCACAACAGCAACTGCTGGGGATTTTCTCCCCAGCCCCAAATCATCGGCAGCAGTGATGCTGCCAGTAAAACCAGAGCATCTTAACCCTAACCAGAGCATCTCACAAACATGTCTAACTCAGAATGCCATAAACTGAGCGCAGACACGCTGCTCTCCTCCGTACAGGCGATGGACAGGGACAGTGCCAGGAAATGTGACAGAGAAAGGCAGCAAGGGATGGGGACACGTGGCTCTGAGGTGTGGGGAGGACAACCCCAGGGGCCTGCTTGCTCCGTGCACTCCTCCAGCTGCACAGCCTGGGATCACTCAAGGACATCTCATCACCATCCTCTGATACGCAAGCGGGAAAGGGAACATTATACCAAAACACAGGCTGCAAAGCTAGCTAAACTCTTGGCTTTGCCTGGGCAGCCATCCCCATTCCTTCTCTTCCCCATGCCAGTTTCTGTACCAGGACACAGAGCCGTGCACCTCCAGCACGGTCACCCCGGTCCATTCAGCTCCGCCTGCTGCAAGCTTGGAGAGCTCTTTGTCCTCACCTCCCCTCGCAGAAGCACACCAACATGTGCAGATAGGGCCTTACAAAAATAATAAGAAACAGAGCACTCCCCTCGCATGCTTCTCTCTGGCAGGGGGGAGGAGAAAAGCAGCACCGCAGCGCTCGCCCTGCTGAATGCAAGCAGACATTCACTACGGTGATACAGCCCATAGGACCTATGGAGAACCAACGACTCCAGCACTCCAGCTCTGATGTTCGAGGCTCCCCATGAAGCTGGCGCTCCGGCAGCCCATGACACTGCCTCGGTGACCGGGACGTTCCCTGCAGCCATACCCCATGGAGACAATAAACCCGCTGCCTCCAGATCCCGCCCTAGTTTTGCAATACCAGCTTCTTTACGGTTTGCCAAGCTGCTTGAAGCCCGTGCCATGGCATTAACTGCTTAGGGATCCCGCGGCCGGGAATGCCCGCTTGTGTCCGGCTGAGCTCCGGGCAGAGCACACCTGGAGGGCCCCAGCTCGGGGCCGGGGCAGCTCCGGGCCGCTTTCAGTTTTCCTTCTTAAGAAAACAGAAGAAGGGCCCTTATCAGGTCGGTTTCCCCAGTAGGTGGAGAGATTGCAGGGGAGACGGGCGGACTTTGCCTCCAGACAGGGGCATGCATATCAAAAGGCTGGAGGGAAGCACTGCGCGATGGCTGGGATGGCAGCCATCACCCAAGCCCTGTTTGAATAACAAAAAGAACTAAAAGCCCCCAATGGTCGGGGCCGGCTCCCTCCAACCCCGGCTCTGCAGCCGGCTCCGGGTGATCACGCAACACAAATGGCCTTTAACGCTCCCCGAAACCGAACATTTCCCTCTAATCCTGCGAAGAAAAGAGTCGCCGGGTTGGCAGTTTAGTAAGAAAGGGAGCGCATTGGGGCAGATATGCTCATTAACGTGCCGGCCTCTCCCCTCCCCTGCCCGCTTCCTGTGCCTGGCCCCTTCCCCGCTGCCGCTCTCCCTCCCCGCACGCCGGGCTGCGGCATTTCCCTCCATTTTCCCCCCCGTTTCCTTTTCTGCCCTCCCTGCCCCGCTCCCCGCCGAACCGCCGCAGCCCTTTTGTGCCCCCTCCCTGCCCCCCTCCCCCCGCCCCGTGCTCCATTGCCCCTTTGCATTCCGTAAAAGCTCGCTTGAAAGAAAAGAAACAAAACAAAACAAAAAAAACACAAACCGGCCCCTCCTCTCCCAGCGAAGACCAGGCCTGGGAAGTCTCCTGGGCAGCCACCATCACGGCCAGCCGCTGCTCCAGCCGCTCGAGGCTCGTTACCATGCTCATCGCTGTGCCCGGTGCCGGCGGGCAGGGCAGGCGGTGGCCCCCGGGTCCCCTCGGTAGCGGCTACTGCATCCCCGCTGCCCTGCACAAAGGGAACGGAGTGATGACAATGACACCTCGCTGTCCCCGTCTCCCACCCGCCCTTCCCATCTCGGGGACAACCCGACCTTCTTTGCGGTTCGGGGAAAGACGGGAATGGAAATCCTCCTGCGGGGCAGCGATTTCAAACACTGCCGTCCTCCCCTTCAGGCTACAGCATTCCCAGTGTCCCCTGACCCCTCGCCCCGAGGGTGTCACCGCAGCCCCCGGCACAGCGCTGCCGCACCGCAGGGACACCCCCTGCAGTCTCTCTTCCCGGGATCTCCCCGGGCCCGGCGGCAGGAGGAAGAGGAGGAGGTGGACGTGTTTCCCCCGCACCCCCCGCCGCTGCCCCGCGGCTGAGCGCACCCCGACTCCGGCCGCCCGCTGCTCTCCGTGCGCAGCTCGAGGGATGACTTCACGCTTCAGGCACCACCGGGAGCCGCTCTCCTGCAGAAAGAGAGAAAGAAGATGGACTGACACATCGCCAGCCCACGGGGAGGAAAACAAAGGTGTTCATGTCGAGCACGGCCAATGCCACCCGGGCTCCCGGAAGCCCTCCCGTCTGCCCCAGTGCCCACGGGGTTGATGACCGCAGCATCCCCGGACCTTCCCAGCCCCGAAGGCATCACTTGTCTCTTCGCCGTCGGGAACGCGAGTCACCGTGGCTTTGCCGTGGTCTGCCGTGCCTCGGCCGTCCCGGCATCGCGGGAGAAGCCCAGCGCCCGCTCTCTCCGTGACAGCCCCGGCCGAGCCCCGCGGAGCGCAGCGCCGGTAACTCGCGAAGTTGCGACAAGAGCCGGCGGGGCCGGGAGAGGAGGGAGCCCGGGGCGCGCCCGTCGCCGAGTCCCGCAGCTCTCCCGGGGCCGAGAGCCGGCAACAAGTGGCGGCGAGGCCGCTGCCCGCAGCCCCTCCCCACCGCCCTCTGCCCCGTGCCGCGAGCCCCGGTAACGGGGCACGGAGCGACGGGGGCCCGGGACGCTCCCGCAAAGACCCGGCGCCGCGCTCCGGTACCGCGTCCCCGCCCGCCCCATTGTCCCCCGCCGCCGCGAACAACAAAGCCGCCCACGAGGATGCGTCGCGGCTCTTGCCCCGTGGGCTCCGGAATCCCCGGCTCTCCCCCCGGTGCCCGGCCCCGCGCTCACCTGCGCCGCGACGGGACGCGCCGTCCAGCGGGGCCGCGCCGCCACTCGCCGCCTCCCGCGCCCCGGCCGGCCCCCCGACAGCCCCGCGCTCCGGTTACATGGCGCTTTAACCCTGCCCGTGCTGGGCAGCCCCTCCTCCTTCGCCGCCGCCGCCGCCCCACGCCGCACGGCGGGGGAGGGGAGGGCGAGGTTCGCACCCCCCGGCCCGGCCGCCGCCCCCGAGCCGCGCAGCTCCCCCCCCAAGCAGCCCGGCATTCTCGGGGTTCTGCGCCTCTGCACCACCCCGCCCGAGTTTCCTCCACGTGCCCTGCATTCCACCAGTGCCCCGCGCCATCGGCGCCCCGAGCGCTCACTCCCCCATCGCTCCACATCTCTCCGCATCGCTCGAGGCTCCTCTCCCACCGCCTCGCCATGCCTCGCATCCACTTTCCGGGGTTCCACACACTCCCCCTACCCCCCCGGGTGTCTCCATCCCTCAATGGTGCTCTACCCCCAATGCTGGCACCCTCGGGGCTCAGCATCCCTCCGGGGTTCAACATCCCACCGGGTCTCAGCATCCCCCCAGGGTCCAACATCCTCCCGGGGCTCAGCCCTAACAGTGCTCTACAGTGCAGCCCCCCAGCCCTGCCTGGTGCTCTGGGCTGAGCATCCCCCTGCCCACAGCCCTTCACCACGGCGTGGATGGACAAAGCCACACAAGTTTTGCAATAGTTTATAATTTTTTCCTCCTTTTCCTTTCCCATGCAGTGGTGAGCACTTGGAAAGGCTGCACTGGGGACAAGGAAAACAGTCCGCACGTCCCCTGCCCCAGACAAAGCATCCCGAGTCCACGTGGGGTATAATCTTCTCTGCTCCCTTGTTACTGCTGCTGGGTACAGCAGAAAACTGGATATCAGGAAGGAGAGGGAATATTGTTAGCCTGCTGCGATGGAAATAAGCTCTCAAGGCTAGGAGGAAAAATGAGGCAGCCAAAGCGTCAGCAACCTGTACGCAGTGCCTACACAGGCCCATACAGCAGGTTCCCCACACCACCACCCCACTGTGCACAACGCGAGCATGAAAAATGTGGCTGCATGAGCAGAGAAAAGCCCTGCAAGTGAACAAGAGAAGGAGATGAGAAATCTGGTCTGGGGAAGCCTTTGGGAATGCTGGAGATTACCATTCAAATAAACACACGCCAAATAAACCTCAAGCTGATTTGCAGCTCTGCTGAATAGATTAAATCCAAGCAATCCTGTTTGGTTTTTCCAAATTTTGAGAAGCAAAATGCTTCTGTGTGTTTCCAGGCCACCCTGAGGAGTGGAATTAGCCCTTACTTCAAGGACCTTCGGGCTCCTCTCCCTTTCTAGCAAAACCTTCCTGCCGCCGCTGGCCCCGCTGACCTGCCATCAATCTCCTGCCCGTGGAAACGCCTCTTTCCCTCTCTTCCCTCGGTTATCATTTAATTCAGGAGAGCACTTCTGTGCATACGGTTTGAAAAAGGCACGGCACTGAACAAAGCCGCTCTGAGCAGATCATGAGCTAAACCCTGACCTCATCACCGCTGCACACAGCCGTGGAGAGGTGCTGCGAGTTTATTTCTTACCCATCAAGAAAGTAAGTATGTCATTTTATGGGCCAAAAAAAAAAAAAAAAGAAAGAAAGGAAAAAAAAGGTCCCTATAAAGGAACCTAAAGGAGACGAAATCATAAAGGAGATTTTGTATCGAGGTTCCTGCTGGGCACTTTGGCTATGCTGGGTCACAGCAGTGCCACTGAAATCACAGCACTGCTCCCCATCGGCTTGAGGTTCCCCAGTGAGGACCAGCAGTGGGATGCAGCTGTGGGATTGGAGCTCACCACTGTCACCAGGGCATCTGCCAGAGGCTGGGAATTGTGCCCAGGTTGGTCACAGCAGCTATCTGATCCTGGCTGTCTGCCTTATTCTTTCCTGCCAAACCTCTTCCTAAATTTCTCCTTTGCTGTCCTGGTCAGGCAAACCAATGTTGCTTCCTCCTAAAGCTCTGCCCTGTCTCCTCTGGGCACCTGCTGTCTCTTACTTTGCACCAAAGGGTTTGGGTTGGAAACTGCTCTGCGCTTTGCAAACAGCTTGCCTGGACATCCCAGACAAATAAAGCAATTGAGCAACTGTGATTTATTCCCTACAGCCTTCAGCAGTGCATCCTTGTTATCTCTGGTGGCTGCAGATCCCAGGCCCTGGTGGAGGTGAGCTGTTTGTTCAGCCTTCATCGAGCAGAGCAAAGCACCAGCACCATTAAAACACTGCAAACCATTACAAACCCTCCTAGTGACCCCAGGGAGTGCATCTCCTGAGGTGTGTTGTCCTCCTCCCCCAGGGGGGCTCTGTGCCTCATGCCCACATCCTCAAACAGCCCTGTGCCATCTCTGCAGGGTTTGGGCTTCGCTGGAGGCTCTGCCTCAGCTGTCGGAAAGCCTCAGCCTGCTGCCACATGTGGGAAGGAGCCTGCAGCCTGTGCAGAGCTGGGCTGCCTGCTCACATCTGCGGGGAGCTGCTGTTGACATGGAGGTAGGAAGTGTTCTCCCTCCTACACGGCGTTTCGAGCCCTTCCTGTGGGCTGGCCAGGACCACATGCTGTAACTCCCTAATAAAAATAAATTTAAAACCAATTGGCACTCATGATGTTGGACACCAGAACATCTCGAAAGACTGGCAACCAGCGTGTGAACTTCAAGCAAGAAGGCACACAAAGAAAAATCTTCTGTGCCTCTCTGGCCACAAAATCCTCTTTTTTTTTTTTTTCTAGAAAACAGGATGCATTTGCTGCAGTCGAACCTGAAGAGCAGAGGCCCCAAACGCCAGGCTGTGAATGCAGGCAGCAGCGGGCAGAGCCCTGCAGAGGAAATGTTTTCCCTGTGGTCACAAGGCAACAAGAGCATAGCAGAACCCAGAGCCCGTGCTGCCACACCGCCGCTGCCTTTGCAATTATGGGCTCCTGCAGCAGCACTTCCCTGGGAGCAAACAGCACAGAGTGCAATGAGAGAAAGGAAAGGGCATGAAGCTGCAAGAAGAAACTGAAATCCTGATCTCAAAGGTGCCATTTGCCTCTGCAGGAACAGTGCTCCCCCTCCAGCTGGGCAATATCCATCACAAGAGCAGAGGAGAATGTCAGCATTCCTCAGTCTCTTGGAGGGATGCTCTCCCAAATCCGCGCAGCTGGAAGGGACGTTGTGCATCAGCAGAACAAACAGAGCTGATCCTGGAGGGGTGAAAGGTGCTGGGGTGATTCCTGGGATCATTGGCAGTTTCTTACCATTCTGGGCCTTCCCCAAGGAAGCTGCAGCCGGTGGCCTTCCTGTCCCAGAAATGTGCCCCAGGTCTGGCCATGGGGGATTGCATGGAAGGATCTGAGGCCCCCCGAGCTGGATGTGTCAGCTGGGATTTGATCTTTTAGGAATAGACAGGAGGGAGCCTTCCTGAGGTGATGCTTTCCATACAAAGGGGAAGGGGAGGGAGGAAGCCCAGGGTGGACAGGTGAAATGAAGCTGAAAAAGTATCTTAAGAAGGGCACATGGTTCCTCCTATTTTGGAGCATCCCACTGGAACACCCTGCTTCCTCACCTCTCCTCCTCCCATTGCTTTTTGCTGCTGCTCCTGCTGCAATGCCTGTGGATAACATCACTTGTGCACAGCACCCAGATGCCACCCGCAGCTCCAAGCCCATCAGCAACACTCTGCATGAGAATGCCCCAGTGCAGCACCCCGGGCTGATGGCCTGCAGCCTCCTCTTCATAGATGAACCCCAAATCCTTTCCCAACAACCACTGCCCAACCCCACAGCCAGGTCTCAGCACAGAAGGTTGGTGGTGCTCAGCACACGCTGCCATAAAGCCGTGTCCCATGCAGCAGGATGGATGCATTTCCCACTGATCGTTCAAACAGGATGTTAGGAGCACATCTCTCCATTTAAACTCTTCTTCGTGGATCCCGTCACTCAACTTTCCCCAAGAATTTGGTTTGCTGCCTGGGAAATTCTTTACCTCCATGGGTTTCTCCCTTCTGCCGTACCATGTGCATGCTCACACAAGCACACACCAGCACTGAGACCATCGTTAATTAGTTCCTAAAGCATCACCCTAGAAAGACACGGGGAATTAAGGATGAGTCACAGACTGCTGCAGCACGGCTGATCCTGGCTTGCAATCCAAACTGAGGATTGCCTCTTTCCACTTTTTCTTTCTTTCTTTTTTTTTGACCGTGAGTGAATGTGGCCACTCCACCACTTCACCCGATACATCGTAGCAATAGCTTAGGTGAAAAACCCACACTTGCTTTGGGCTGTGCTGAACATCCAGGGTCAAATCCTGCAGCCACTCAATCCCACGTGTAACTTCCCACCCCCACAGTGCTGTTAGGTCAGAGCGGCATCCCGCCATGCTGGGCATGGAGTGGGGATCTCCGGGCTGAGCTGGGAGGTGGAGGGGGAAGGAATGGGCGCAGGGCTGTGATTTCCAGACACGGAGTGAATCTCTCTTAACTCTTCATCATCTGTGGTGTTTCGCTGCCTGACTCCTTGCTTGCAAACCCATGGAAATATCCCACACTGGCATTTATGATTGTGAACTGCGTGATTTTGCCTTTCATGAAGGCTTTCTTATGGGTGAACAGCTTTTGGGACAGAAGGGCTCAGGCACAGACATGTGGACACAGCGCTGCTCCTGCAGCTCCTGCTCTCAGAAAAAAAAAAAAAGAAAGAAAGAAAAAAAAAAAAAAAAAAAAGATAAAAAGGGCTGGGGGTCCTCAGGGGGAACACACCGAGTTTGGGGATTTTCTCCTAGAAATTGGGTAATGTAACAGAGGAGAAGCAAGGGGTGATTTTATCCTTCGCCTGCTGCTGGCTGCAATCCCCGGGGATGTGCTAATAAATAAATAAATAGATAGATAAAATCCGACCCTCCCACGACAGCTTTTTAACGATTAATTTTTAATTATTATTATTATTTTTTTTTTTTTTCCTAAGTCCTGTAGAAGCAACGCCTTCCCCGCGGCCTGCCCGGCCCTCCGTGGAAAGTGCGAGCGCCAATGCTCAGACTGACTCGGGCGGTGCGGCGGGGCGGGCGGAGCCGGAGCCGCCATGGGGCTGCTGAGAGCCGGGCGCGACGCGGGGCCCGAGGCGGGGAGCGGGGACGTGCAGCACCTCAACCAGCTGAGCGCCGAGGTGCGGGGCCGGGGGGAGGGGGAGGAGGGGGCAGGCGGTGCCCGGAGAGGGCGAACAAGCGGCTCTGAGGCGCGGGGCCCCGAGCCCGGCCTGCGGTGTGAAGGCTCTGCTGGGCTGCGGGCCGCGCCGGTGGCGGCGGTGCTGGGAGGCGGTGGGATCTGCCTGCAGCTGGGCCCGGGGGTGACAGCGAGGCCTTGAAGCCGTGCTTCTGTCTGCCGAGTCGCTCTGGTTACCTCGTGGGTTTTTTGGGGCATCGGAGTGGATGTTTGCATCCTCTCCCGTTGGTTGCTGTTTGGATCGCATGGGATGGAACGGCCACAAAAGGCCTGCTGGTGATGGGTGCACGAACCCCTTGGGTTGTCTTTGAAGAGAGCCCATGTGCAAATGCTGCCCATAGGCATCTTGTCATGGCAAAGGCTGGGGGAACACCTCAGCATTTATGGCCACAAGTTGTACCAGAGGTTTAGGTTAGACATAAGGAAGAACTTCTTCTCTCAGAGAGTAGTCAGGCACTGGAATGGCTGCGCAGGGAGGTGGTGGAGTCGCCATCCCTTGCAGTGTTCAAGAGGCGTCTGGATGAGGAGCTAGGAGATTTGGTTTAGTGCTCATGGTAGCAGTGGCGATGGGAGGACGGTTGGACTGGATGGTCTTGCTGATGATTGGGAGCTCAAACTCCAGCACCAGCACAAGGAGACAGGAAGAGCTGTGTCAGGGCAGGACATCAGCCCCAAACTGCATGGTGAGGGGGGAAACGAGGTGCTGAAGAATGAAGTGAGGTGCTGAGGAACAAAGCATGCTGATGCTTCACTCCTAACACCACCCTGTTTCTTCACAGCAATTCTCAGCACTGACTGAAGTGCTCTTTGGCTTTCTGACAGAACCCAAGGAGGTAAGGCTGCACAGAGCACAAAAGCAGCTCTCAGGTGAGAAGCATGCAGAGATAAGATTGTGTCGTTGCTCTTTCTCTTGAGCAGGTAGAAAGGTTTCTGACTCAGCTCTCCGACTTTGCAACCATGAATAAAATCAGCTTGGGCCCCCTGAAAAACATTGTCAAAAGTATTCTTCTGGTACCCAATGGTAAGTGGTACGTATGCATATGCTGCCCTGAGGCCAAACTGCTGCATCCATTCTGCATGCTGCTAAAGGCCCCACGTCTTCAGAACTGTGTTGCACAATGATGCTAACAGTAACTCATAAATAGCTTAGCATTTAAGAATCAAAAATTCAGAAAGTGCTCCCCTGCTGCAGCATCCCCACTGAATGACTCAGGCTTTGTCTTCTTTACACTGTTCCCACAGACACGTCTTGCAGGCCTGGCTACACTCACTCCCCTGCTTATTAAGTGCAGGCACAACACTTTGTGATGGTAACAGAGCTTGGTTCAACCCATACCTGTAATCCATTTGTGCTAAACCAGCACAGCCTTATGTTGGCACCACATCTTTGCACTTCCATCCCAGTAACCCAGCGCTGTGACTCCTACGAGAACAAAGCACCATTTGAGGGCTGCATTCACGCCCCCCTGGAGCAGATTGGGATCCAGCAGGCATAGTTCCTTGCACACGTGATGTCTGTCCTTGTAGTCTTGTTTTAGAAAAACACATAAGCCTCCAGTGACTTCTCATTCACAAACACTGGAGGAGAGGGGTGGGAGAATTCCCTTTGCATGCCCTATTCGGACTCTGCCGTATGAGATTGCTCTGATGTTTTGGCTGCTGTCAGACGCAACGCTGCATCAGACATCCTCCCTCACATTCATGCCTTGGTGATCCTCGTTATCAATGGTTGCTTAGAAATACCCTTCAGTCCCCCATTTCCCACAGAGTTCGTCACAGCAGCGAGGCCGCGCACAGCGGCTTCCTGCATTCGGGTTAAACTTCCATCCTACTATTTCAAGCCATTTCTTCTGTCCCAGAGAAGCACTGAATAGTTTCCTTCCCTACAACTGCCTTGGAGGGATTCAGTGCAGAATCAGCATTTTCTCCCTTCCTGTTTGTGCACTGGCTGCACTCAGCCTCACAGTTCCTGTTTGCGAGCGCTGGTTCCAGTCCTGTTGCACCTTCTCAGAAGCTCCGGGATGCCACGGGCTGCACCAGAGCAGAACACAGCAGATAACTTTGCCTCTGTGCTACACAGAGCCACGTGGGGCTGCCAGTCTCTTTGAATGTTCACAATTCCTGCTCCTGGCTTCAGAGAACAGAATCCTTGTAAACTTCCATGTGCTGCCTGCGCTCTGGAACAAAGGAGGCAGGCACAGCAGGGGAAAGTGTTATATGCACACGTTCACACCCATAATCCAAAACACAGCAGGTAGGTCAAATTAGTAGCCTGCCAGCCTTAACAGTTCCCCCTTAACAAGCAGAGCTTCTATAGGAGAGAAAGCAGCAACTTCAAAACACAACTGCTGCTGCTGTTACCATGGTTACCTGCAATGAAATCTCTCCCTCTCTCTCTCAGGCACTTCCACAGGACTGACTTTTAAAGCACTGGGCATCTGCAAAGATACCAGCAGACACAACTGTATTGCCTATTGGCAAGCTGGGGTTTGTTTCAAAACAGTCCAAGAACAGCCTTTCTATGGCAAGGTCTCCATCCCTGCGTCTGTTTGCCTCAGTAAGGACTGGTTCCACTCAGTAGAAGCTGATTTTTTCCCCTTGCACTGTTTATTCAGGTGCCCTGAAGAGAAATCTGTCTTCTGAACAAGTCAGAGCAGATTTTGTTGCTCTAGGTAGGTCACGTGACCTCGCTAAATAAAAGCTAATTAACATTTATCATCTATAGTAACCTCGTGTGCTTTCTCCCACAGGCCTCAGCGAAGAGAAAGCCAGTTATTTTGCAGAGCAGGTACGAAGACCTCCTTGCTTGTTTCTAACTAACAGAAACTCAGTCAGATGCATCAGCTGCTTCCAACCCAGCTCTGAATTTTGAGCTGAAAATCCCCAGTGATAAGAAACACTTGTGTAATGGTGCTGTGCTTTGCTGTGGCCTCTAGCCTGTGGGCTCAGTGATTCCTGCAGCCGTGTGGCTTCCATCTGATTGTTTTTCTGCTTTGCATGCCTGGAGCCCCGGGGTCACGCACTTACACGAACACATGACTTTTTGTGCAGATACTGTTACACAGAACCAATGTTCAAACAAAACCAGCCAGTGCCAGAAGTGACGGGGCAGATGGAAATCCTTGCAGGACTCATCCTTGGGAGCCCTCCTGGCTGCATTAGCTTGGCCCATCACACACACACACACTTGGGCAGCTGTTTTGTGATTTGTGTTGAAATTACAGGCACCACACGTGGAGCCCCTCTGAACTGATGGTGTGTTCTGCTCTTGCAGTGGAAGCTGAATGCCCCCACCCTGACACGCCTGGCTGTTGGTCAGACACTGATGATTAACCAGCTGATAGACATGGAGTGGAAGTTTGGTGGTAACGGAGCTAAGACTTAAAATGACCGGGTTGGGAAACCCAACAGCACCTTTGGGCTGTAGGAGGTTTTGTTTCACAGCTTAGCTAACTTTCTCTCCCTTCTGCTCTCTCTGAATCACAGTTACAGCCGGGAGCAGCGAACTTGAAAAAGTAGGAAGTATCTTCTTACAGGTAAATGCCCTGCATGGGGGAATCACAGCACGGTCAGGGAACGAGCCGTGGCCAGGGCTGTGGGGGGAACTGGCTGCCAGAGGAAGCAGAGGAAAGCTGGATCTTGTAGGAGCTTTGCAGTGGCACATCTTCAGTGCTCTGAGTGAGCTGCCAGCAGATAGCAGGCGTGCTGCTGTTTGTTACTTCTCAGAAGAGCTGCATCACAAAAGTGCAGCCCACTCTGAAAAGCTTCATCTTAGCACAGGTTGTGCTGTCTCAGGGAGGGAGGGGGAAGGCTGTGGTTTCTAAGGGCTTCCCAGAGATCCTCCCTTATCTGTTCCTGCAGTGACACTTCTTGAAAAGCCAGACAGATGTGTGTTCTGTGCAGCAGTTTGCACTAGAACTCAGAGCAGATTCCTGTCTATTCATGGTGCTTGAAATACGGGCTTCTGCACTGATACATCTCTGCTTTTTTTTCCTCCCCTAGCTGAAGCTGGTGATTAAAAAAGGGAGCCAAACAGAAAATGTCTATGTAGGTGAGTTAACCGTACTGGAAAAGCAGCAGAGAGCTTGAAATCCGAGCTGTAGCTCAGAGCTTTTGTGTGTTTGGGGAGGTGGGGGAGCTTTGGGGGCAGACCCAGCAGGGGTCACTGTGAGAGCATTGCTGGGAGATGCTGCTCCTCCGGCCTCTCCTTGATGCAGTCATGGGAAGCATTTGGGAGCACTGACTGCTGGGCAGCCCTCACATCTTTGCAAAAGCAGATGCAGGTGTGCCATGGAGCACTGGGAAACAGCAGCATGGCAAAGGAAGGAAGTGAACCTAGCTTAGGTGAACGTGAGCTGCTCTGCGATAGCACCAGAGTGGCTTCTCCAGCCTTCATTGCAACCTGACATCTAAGGTTTTATACCTCTATTATTATTTCTTTTTTGCCTACAGAGTTAACATTGCCCCAGTTCTACAGTTTCCTGCATGAAATGGAAAGAGCCAAAACCACACTGGAAAGCTTTGGCTGAAGCTACAAGGACCTGACCTGTCATCTGTGCAGGGTGTTTAGTTTCTCCTTGTGGACCTGCAGATCTGCTCTGTTCCAGCTGGTAAGAAAAGATGAGGCTGTGCAACCAACAGCTGTGCCAGAAGTCCTTCAAAAGCCAAAACTCGGGCAAATGTTTTGAAGGCATTATGAGTCCACCTGGCCCTTTTTTAATACTATCATGAGAAATTGTCTGACGTGGATACCTGTACTAAAATGGCAAAGAAATAAACCCATCCCCATCCTTCTCTGTTTGTATCAGAATTTGATTTTTTGAGACAGAAACAGAGCAAAGAATCACTTCCATGCTAGGAAGAATGGAGCAGAAATGGATGGGATGCAAGGAGAGCATCCAGCCTGCTGAACCACTTCACACCCACTTTGAGCCTCTCCTTGTATCAAGGAATGGAATGATTGCATCCTTCCCAGTCACATCTTGTGCAAAATAGCACTGAATCACCATAGAAAGGTTTGAGTTGGAAGGGAGCCTTAAAGGCCATCTGGCCCTGCAGTGAGCAGGGGCACCCACAGCTCCACCAGTGCTCAGAGCCCCCCAGCCTGACCTGAGTACGATGGGAGGATCAGCTCAATAGAAAAGGTGCTGTAAGGAAGGGGAAAAAGATTGCTTACCTGGATCAGAAGATTTCAGGTTCACAAGGGAGGAATCTCCAGAAAGAGATCCTTCCTAGGGGCAGTCAGCCCTTAAATGAGGTCCAAGAGGTGCAGCCTGCTCCACCCCTTCCTGTCTCACAGCTGAATCGCCTTCACCTGTGCCCCAGGGCTGACAGGGGCCTTTCCCCAGGTGCTCCATCAGTGCTCCAGGCCTCGACTCAACAGTTACCATACAGGCACCCACCTCATCTCTGTGCCACTGCCCTCACTGTAAAACCTCCCTTACATCCCATCTCCACCTCCCCTCTTTCACGTTGGTCTTTTCAGCTTGCAGAAGACCTGGCACTTTTCCACGTTGCATTTCATGCAATCCTGCATGAGCGACCGGAGCCTGTGGTGAGGACAGGCTGAATCACGTGCTTGGAGCACAGCGCAGGGAATCCTGCTGGCAAGCCTGGGGGCAGTATCTGCATATTTATTTCCTGACATGGCAGGCCATCCACGAGCATGTTAAGATTTGTCACGTGATGAAGGTAATAAAGAATTTGGGTTGTTTTTTAACATAACACCCTGCAAAATATTCCATCTTCCTTTTGGGTGGCAGGAAAAGCCCCGGAGTGCTTTCTGCAGACAAAAGGAATGTTTTTGCTTTACATCTTCTGTCGGCCATTCCTCCCTTTTCCCCTCACCCCCCCGGTGCCGCAGCGCTCAGCCCGTCCCACTGTGCTGGAAGATGCTCAGACCGGGTCAGGATCCCCATCTCCTGTTTCAGATGAAGCTCTGTGGGGCTGATGCACAGCACAGCACGCCGACCCCAAGCGTGGGGGTCACCTCTGCACTGCTCCACGGTCCCCAGAGAGCGTGGGGTCACGGTGACCCACAGCCCCGTTCATCCCTGCGTTGGGCTGCGTGCGATGGAGCCGGGCCCAGGGGAGGGACATCCTGGCATAGGCTGGGAGATGTGGTGTGGCCTCGTCCTGCGTGGGGCTGGGAAGGTGAGTGCAGGGGTGCAGGGCTGTGGGCAATCCGGCAGCAGCCTGGTTCTGCCTGGGTTTCCTGGTAGCTCTGGGTCTCTGCAGTACCGGTGCTGCCAATTGCGGCCGCCTGCGAGAGCTAATCTCTGTGGGACAGCAGGAGTGGGGGAAACGGGGCCCCTCGCGGTGTGGGGTGAAGCTTAACCACACTGCTGCTGTCCTCTGCCTCCCCTGGGGCTCTCTCGGCCCATTTCCTCCCACCCAGAGGCTGTCAAGGACCGCACCACCCCATGGGTATGAGGCCATCCCAAGGCCCCATGCATCCCACAAGAGTCCCACGAGGGCGAGTGACAGTTGGGATGTGGGGGCCGCTCCCCCAGGGCCCATCGCCCCCAGCACAGCTTCAGTGCTGCTGTAATCAGCAATCCCTGGAGATGGCCAGCTCTGCTCTGGGCAGAGCCCCTCACCTCTGCCTGCCTGGCAGGGTGATCTCTCCCACCACGCTCATCCCTTCTGCACTCCAGGTCTCCCATTCCAGGAGCTGGAACCGGACCAGGAGCAACCAGAACACACAAATACCTATGGAGGAATGCCAAGAGCTTTTCCTAGAAAGTGTTTGCTGCAGGAAAGAAGGCTGTGGGGCCCGGCAGACCTCCCTGGAGGAGCTATGGGATGATGGTGCACCAGCCCCAGCCCCGGTTCAGCACCCAGGGTTTGCAGGCATGGGATCTGCCTTGTGATGCAGGCACTGTGCTGTGCGTGGCTCCGTTTCTGCTCCCTGCCTGCACACCTCAAATCACCTCCACTATCCCAATGCCCTGCTGTTCCCATCTGCAGCACCACTGCATTCCTGCCACAGGCAGCTCCCACTGCGGCAGCCATCAGGAGACCTGGGCAGGAGGGGGCTGTCTGGGGATTGCTCCACGTGGACACATCCCAGCTCCTGCAGACGGGGCTCAGGCGGGGAGGGGGATGCAAAGCTGGAACCAGCAGCCAAGTGCCCCCCAGCACAGCCCTGCACTGCAGCGCCAGCATGGTGAGCACAGGGACTGGAGGCAGGCAGGGAACACAGCCCCAGTTCCACATCAATCTGCAGCAATTGCAAGAACAAGTTCAGGTGCCCCAAACCCACAGATCAGCAAATTCCTCGCAGCAGAGGCCAGAGCCCGGCTACGCACAGCGGGGCCTCCGTGACCTCTATGGCCCGAAACAAACACTGCATTATGGTGCTGACCCCACAGCCTGCCCAGGGCAGCCAGCACCGGCCCCGTCCCTGCGGGGAGGCTGTGGTGGCCGGAGTGGGGCCAAGGGGACAGCCTGCATGGGAACAGCCACGCTGCAGCCCTGCTCCAGGCGTGGGGATGCGTGAACCTGGAGCGCTGCCGCCCATTCTTGCAGGAGGACGAAAGGCTGGTGGTGTGTGAGGCAGCAGAAATATTCCTAGCATGTTCTCCATCCCTGAGCCGTGCCATCTCTCGAGGCATTTCTTTGTCCGGGCGCTCTGGGAACAATTGGGGCTGCTCAGCCAGACCGCAGGCTGTCGATCAGCAGAGCGAATGAATGCTCAGCCATAAGGAACCCATCTTCTCCTGCAGCACGGGGAGGTGGCCACCAGAATGGGGGCCCGTGGCACAAAAAAAAAAAGCACAAAGAGCAAATAATGCCCGGGCACAGGGTGGTGGTGGAGCCCCGCAGCCCCTCCAAAGGGAGGGGGATCCCAGTGCCTCACATTGCCCCACACCCTTGGAACATTCCAGTCCAGGTCCGGTGGCAGTGGCTTCATCACAGACACAGCTCTGTTAGCAGCCCCCCCTCCCCCACCACCACGATGGGCCCAGCCTGTATCCTACCGCTGTGCCCCAACACCCCCAGCCCCACACCGGAGGGCAGTGCCCCGCTCCTCGCCACACAGCGACCATTTCCCCATGCTCCCCGCAGCGCGCAGCTCCATTTTATAGGTCTGCTCTGTCCCAGGGGCATCGCTGTTGCAGCGCAGCCGCTAATGAGGTTATCCCCGACCACGCCACCGAGTTCGCCATGGAAAGAGAGGGAAAACGGCGTTAACCCCTGCGCTGCCGACACAACGCGCAGCGCTGCGGAGCATCTTTGTTCCAACACGCGCCCTCGCTGGTCCCAGTGGTGACGGTGCTGCTGCAAAGCAGGCGAGGAGCCCTCGTGCCGTCCTCGTCTCCGAGCATTGCCAGATCTGCAGAAACAGCGCTGAACCTCAGAGCAGCGCCGGCCCTCGAGCACAGTGCCCTGGCGATGGGATCGGGGAAGCAGCCCCAGCCCCAATCCTGCTCACGCTTTGTCTCGCAGCAGAGTGGGATGGCGGATGGCAGAGGACAGTAGCCGGGATAGGGGGCGGCGAGCTTCGCTCCCGCCGAGCAGCACGGCTCTGCTCACTGTCCTCGCGAATTCACCCCGCAGCGATGCTCCCACACCACCCCGCGGGGCTCGAGATGGGTTCCCCAGGCGGGAGGAGCGGAACCCCCGGCAAAGCCCCCCATCCGCTGCCGACCTGGGGCACTGCGGGCACCGCGCGCTGCTCCCCTTCCCCCGCCCCGCTGCGTGCAGTTCGCGGTGTGGACAGCAGGGGGCGCCAAAGCACTGCGCTGTGCCTGCAGCCCCATCCCGGCGCAGCCCCATCTCCCCGTCCCATCCCTACCCCATCCCTGTCTCAGCCCCCCGCTGCCCTTAGTTATCCCAACCCACCCCAGCATCTACTGCTCCCCAGACCTCGCCCTTCGTCCTCCAAGCACGGTTCCCTACATCTGCGCTGTGGGCATCCATCCCTTCCCCATTTCTCCCTCCAGATCCGCTCCCTCCCTCCCTCCCTCCAAGCATCCCTCCCTTTCTTTACCCCCTGCCCATGGCTCTCAGCAGCAGTACCCCCCTCCCAACCCCATACCTCTCTGGCATTACCATCTCCCCCAGTTCCCACGAGCCCTTTTCCATGTGGGCTTCCCTGGCAGAAGCCCTGGAACCACCTTAAGGCAGAGCCGTGAGCATCACCCATGGTTACCACATCCACCACCAGACAGTCCTATGCCACTGCCCTGAGAGTGCTGGGGCAAATGGAAACACGGGCACACAGCACTGAGCCCCACTCAGGCAGCATCAGTCAGCCCCTGGCTGGGGGGGGGGGCAGGAGCCCTGTCACATCAGCCACCCTCTCCTCATTGTCCAGAGTTATTCAAAACACAATAAAATCTAAGACCAACTGTCCCTGTTCCCTTCCTTTGCCAAGGGATGGTGATGGAGGAGCCCCATCCCGCTGCACAACACGCCACGTCGGGGCAGTTCACCCGTCAGAGCTGATTAAAAATAATAACGATAGGAAACACTGGGCTCATTGGGGGCTACCTCCAGGCATCTGGTTACTGAACCAGGCAGGCTGGTATTTTTAGCCTCCACTACGGAGGAGCTGGCTCTATACAGAGAGAGGAGTCACCATCCACCACCTATGTAGGGCACACAGTAACCACAGGCAGCCCTCTCCAGACCCCTCCCCATAGGATTTCTAACCTGCCCCACAGCCCCTTGCTCAAGTGCCCCCAGCCTCTCCCACTCCAGGGCTCCCCCATTAACATCTCTCCCTCTCATTAGCTGCTTGGCCTTTATCCCTCGCTCCCCTCCCAGCGGGATTCCCATCAGCTGGG